AGTGACGGCCTGCAGTCTAACACGAGGCTGAGATGTTCTTCCTATAATATTATCGGTATAATAAGGTTTTTTTCTGACTCCTGTGCTGGAGTGTCTCTGCCCATCAGTCTGCCTAATATCACCCTTTTACTCTGCGATTCACCCCCTCCAGCTCAGACGGGGCCCCCCCACAACTGATGGCATATTTCTCATTACGGTTAAATCAGAGAGATGTGGTGTGGGGCCTAACCACAGCTCATTACCATCATGGCGGGAGTATAGCCACCAATTTACCTGCAGACGAGGTAATGCTGAGGAGAAATAGGCCGACAGGAGCTGAAATGATATTTCTAATTACGAATCTCCTCTCCCACTGTTTTTCTCTCTGCCTCCGGCCCCCAAACCTCATTTCAATATTTGTTTCTCATCAAACAGAGAGGAAGAAGGCCGAAGCGGAGGATGAGGAGGCGGAATGTGATACCTGCAAACAAATCAACAGCAACAGCAGCTAGATGGAGAGGCCACATCATGTTAATTATCTGCTCTAAAGCTGCAGCTTGATTCTAATTTACTGATGCTGATTTTCTCCTCAACAAAACCCGAATCAAACTAATAAAAATAACATTAAAACCAGCTCAGCCCAGAAGAAATCACAGGAAAAACATTAAGCAGAAATAAAGCCCTGTGCTCAAAAAATTACATAAACATTAGAGGAGCTCAGGAGCTGAGCTGCAGGAGGTCTATAAGTAGACACATAAATAAGAGGAAATAAATCATTTAGATCAGGGTATGAATGCATTACAAAAGCTATAACACTGATTCTAATAAACATTTCAAACATGTTTCAGCAGAGGAAGATTAGGAGGTAAATATAGAGTTTTAACTGCGAGAACAGGAAAAAAAACTCAGGAAAAAGTTCAGCTTGTTAAAAGAGGACAAATCAATGTGATAAACAAATAGAAATCTAGCCATTAAAAAATTTCATTCATATTATCAATTATATGATTGATTTTATGTCAGTGTTCAGGTGTACTTTTTATTTTAAATGAATGCTTCAGATTTTAGATGAGTCCTTGGCAAACAAAGCAACAACTTAAAAAAAATTAAGAACATCTTCAGATTAAAATGAAATTTACTGCAGAAACAAGCATAATTTTTTTCAAGATGTAAAAAGTAATAAAAAAAAAAAAAAGTAAAATCTATTTTTGCTTAAAAATAAGGAGAAAAGAAGACAAGACAAAAGCAATGAGCTGTATTTATCAATTTCAACGAAACATTTAATACACGAGAGGAAATATTTTTAGCTTAACACTGTTTGCTGTGCAGCAACCTGATGAAAACCTTTTTTGTGTGTGTTACATCCAAGAGCTTAGGAGGAAAGCTTGAGTCTAAAAATCTAACTTTTATTCCGAATTAATTGTTAGTTTATTTGTAGTCGCTTTTTCAAACATGTCACAATGTTAAAAAAGGTATTCAGGTTGAAAAGGGTTAAATTCAAATCTATGCTTATTTTGATGATTATTATTATATTGACTGATATACTGAAGACTGAAGTGATACATCAAAATAAAGCAAAATAACAAATTTATATTGAACTTAAAAAATAAAAATATTTACAAAGTTTTAGATGTAAAATCAAATTTATTTTACTTAATGAAGATATTGTTTTTCAGACCGACTGTAAACATTTTTTACTATAAATCTGCAGTTTAATCATCAATTGTTCAATTATGTTGAGCCTGTATTATATTTTCTTACAGCTTACATTTTTGTCCTCTTTCTCTCCTACTGTAAGTGAATCTGCAGTGAGATTAGGAGATTATTCCATCCCATCGCCCTTCTTTTCTTTTCTATAGTTATTTCTATATTTGTTCACTTTATATAACTACATCCATTCAGAACAATAGGGTTAAAAACACCAAATTTAATTTTAAACAATACATTTCCTTAACTTCACAACTTGGTAAAATAAACCTGCAGAATATATTATAATAATTTCCTAAAAAAAAAAAAAAAAGTTTTAAACTTTATTAATCTGGAACCTTTAAAGGTGTATTTTTATGAGGGGAAGCTGAAGATAAGTCTATTAAGACAGAAAATGTTAATAGAAATCCATTCTACTGGTTACTATTTTAATAGAAAAATAAAAATCAGAAGGCAATTTAAAACGAGAAAATATAAATATAGCGGCGAGTCATCGTCTAAAAACTCACAGAATTATACATACATATATATATATTTATCTTTTTTTAATCAATTGATGGAAAATGATCAGAAAAAGCTATGGATTAAAAAAAAAATATTATGAAAGGGAAAAAAAAGTTTGAAAATGAAAGATGTAATGAATATTATAAATTTTGCATATTTATTCCACTGGAATTTGAATTCATAACCTTGTGGAGTGGAGGAACTGCATCTTAAGAAATGAAAACTTACTGAGGGGATTTGTTGGGGGGAAAAAAAAGATCCAGGTGGATAATTGAGAGTAGAACATAAGAAGAAGGAACCAGATAGTTTTAAGGAAAAAGGTAGAGTTCAAAACATTTCGATAAAATCTGCTGCTGCTCAAATCTGTCAAATTGTAAACTTCTGACTGACGGGTCCCACCAAAGCTAGAGTGGTTTCTTGTCCCACCCCACCTCATGGGTTCATGGTCTTTGTTGTTCTAGCTAAGAATAAATGACTGGTGTGACACAGCAGCAGTCTGCACATCATCAGCACAGGTAATAAGTCACCATTAAGCCTCCCCAGCTTGACCCGCCCAGCTCCACTCTGCTCCAGTTTGACCCTGTTTACTTTACCTTACAGTCAAACTTCACATCTCCAAGCTCCGCTCACCTTAATGTGCCTCGTTTAAACAGAGAGAGAAGAAACTTTAAGCAATCCTCAGTAAACGCAGAGAGGAAACTACAGGTCAGAAAAACCTGGACATCATTTCGGAAAATCTGAGACACATCTAAAAAAAGTCTAAATAAAATGAATAAAAATGTGTAACAAAAAACCCTGAGAAACATTTGATAGTTCTGTTGGTTTTAAGTACAAGTTCAGGGTTGAATGGCAGAAAACTGCAGAAGCTTCAGCAGGTAAACTCTGAACCTCTAAAATGGACAGAAGGCAATTAAAAGTTAAAATGAGGGTAGATTAAAACAAATTTGCCGGGATTATTTTCTGTATATTATAGATATGAATAATTATTAGCATTATTAATAGGGATAAATAAATACATTATCATCTGAGATGGATGGTGGAATTATTTTAAATAATAATAAATAAAATAACATTTCTGATTCACTATAAAAGCAGTGCGTTCTAAAAAGAAAAGTGATTCAAGCTAGAAATGCTCATACTATCTGTGTTTCCGCATAGAAAATACACCGTTTATGTTCAGCTTTGTGGCAAAATAGAAGAAAATGTATATTTGATTTAAATTTAAGGGAAAAAATTTTAAAATAAGGTTTTTAAAAAGTATCTGCACTTCTTTCCACACAATTACAGCAGAACAGGAATCAGTCAACTTCTGGCACCTGTCGGACGACCAAACCATTTCCCACAGTTCCTCTGCATTACTGGCTTTTTCCACAGTTTACCGCCGGTACAACCTCTCTATTGGATGAGAATCACACTTGGTTGGGTTGGTAGGATTTTAAAGGCATTTCCATTTCAACACCTTAAAAAAAAAAAGCCGTATTCTAATAGATTTGTAATCCTGACCTAAATAATTTAGCGTTCCATTTGTCAATGTTCTTAAATGACAAGTTGAAGTCCGTGCAACCTCTTCTGCATTCAAGATGGATGCTAATCACATCATCAGTAGTTAAACTACTTAAAAGTCCTGATAACAGAATAGGACTGTGAAATTCCCAAATATTCCCATATAATGATACCCAGGCTACCATGCTCCAGGTTATTTAAGCTCAGATCGATTCATTTGAAGAAAAATCTGTGGCCTATAGTCCTGAATGTTTGGGGGTGTTGCTTTTTTTTTATAAGGAACATTACTGTTATTTATTAGATCGTCATCCAGATAACTTGACCTCTCAAAAGCTTCTAACAGCATCAGCATTTAGTGGAAACTGTAGACTTTTGGTTAAAATGATCAGCTCTAGATCTCTTTAATTAAAAATCTTATGTTCTCTTATATTATCAACCACTTTAAATATGCAATAGAACATCTCAGTGTTAATTACTGCTGAAAGGCAAGATGGAGTTGAATAAATTATTTCCATTTTCAAATTCATGTTTTAAATTAACTTTATATAGGGGGTAGTTTAAATAGTTAGTTTTGGACAACAGCTTAACTTTAAAGTGTCATTTACACTGCAAAGAAAAAAAATTGTTTTCTTAAAATAAGTTTTTCTGAATTGAGAAGGTCAAACTTTGCCAATTGAACAAGATGATTTGCATCTAAAATAAGAAAAAGCAGGTGCATTGTCATATTTCAAGTGCATATTATCCAATTATTTTATTTTAAGAGTAAAAATACTCAATCTACTGGCATACTATTATATTTACCTACTGAAATCAATGGTAAAAACACTTAATTTAAGAAATTTTTACTTATTTCTAGATTGTCGCTGCAGTGTTGCACTTTAATACACCTTTAATAATGAAATACTTTATATTCAGTCACACTAATAGCTGCTGTTTGAGTTTTTAGGATCAAATCAGATGCAGAGCACCTTCTGCAACAGACCCTGAACAGCTGACCTGCAGTCAGTGACCATTTCAGGAGGGCTTAAAACACCAGCTTAATGATGCAGAGGAACATGTGAGAAGTGACTGAGTTCAGAGCATGAACCTGCTGCTGCTGGAGCTGCTCCATCCACGGTCCCAAAGGGCCGATAAACCTGCTGCGAAGCCTCAGCCTGCTGCTCACACTGAGCCAATAAACCTGGTGCTGCTGACGAGCCTCAGAGCTGACCAAGGAGGACATGGCGGGCGGCCGCATGAGAGGAAACAGGCCCAAAGGGGCTGCAACAGATGAAAATCAGGTTAAATGTTCTCAAAGATGAGCGGAAGAATGAGCTGATGATCAGGACTTTATTGGAGATATACAGAGCTACACAAACAAACATCCAAAGGAAAAAAAAAACATAGCAAAGGTCTCTGTGATCCATAAGGTGCAGACTGTACACCACTGCAGCTTAATGTTACATTAATGTTCCCGACGTTCCCCACGCTGACCCAGGATCAGCTACATTACAAACCGGGCTGCAGCTTCACCTAAGATCAGCCTCTGCATCTAGAACTGGAGATAAAAACCCAAACTAAACCGATCAGTTCCCTCTGCTTGGGTTGGAGGTTGCTCTGCTGCACATCACAGTCCACTGCTGCCCTCTGCTGGAGCTCAGGCACTGAACATCTCTCTAAATGTACCTCAGACTGATCTGTCAGATTCACCATGAGAGATTGAAGACAAACACAGATGGCTCAGATGCTTAGCTTCTACCTTTAATACTGTCTAACCATTTTCTTTCAATAGAAGCTGGAGCTTTATGAACACTTCGTCCAGAAAAGCAGAACCAGAATGGCTGCACCAGCATTTCTGTATGAATAAAAACATCTGAACCATTTCCGTCTGTCTTCTTCTTATGTTAAACTGAAAACGGATTTGATTTTTCTCAGTGATGGAGGTCAAGGGTTTACTAATAGGGAGGAGGGCAGCTCTCCGAGACAGTGCTGGAACTTAGAGCAGTGCTGGATAAAGACATTCAGGGTCTGCAGGAGCAGATACAACCACCAAATCCATTTAAATCAAATAGAAACTAGATTCAGAGGATCCTAAAACCTCCATTCCCAAACAGATGGCAGCTTCAACATTAAAGCTTGAGAGAAACCGTTCACAGATGGTAAGAAACGACTCAGCTTAACCAGCTGGAGCATAAACGGATCAATGATTCGTCGGGAAAAAAGGAGGAGGAAGAATCAGCCTTCCTGAAATCAGCTGGAACGGTTTGTGGCATTTGAGGCAAAACTGACAACTAAATGCACACAAACATCCATCATCACAGAGGCTCGGTCAGTCAAACATGATCAACGACTTGCGTAAAAATGGGCTGAAAGTTTCCTCTCAGGTAAACCTCTGATCGCAGAACGAGTTTCATAATCGCAGATCTAACAGAAAGGTATCAGCTGGGCGTTTATCAGTGAGCGGATCATCAGGTCAGCGCAGAGTGGGTTTTCCTTTAGGCTGCTGTCAGCAGGAGGTCAGAGATCCAAACAGAACCAGGCCCGACATGAACTCGCAGCAGTTCTCTGTGGTTGGATTAATGGAAGGCAGCAGGTAAGCTTCTTTCAGTGTAGGATCAGGTGGCGACCTGCGGGAACGTTCTGTGTAACGCCGGCGGTCCAGACTCCTTGACCGGCTCCCTTCCACTCTGACATGAGGTAAAAATATGGCGCCAAGTGCAATGCTCTTTGTGCTACATGTTTATCAAAGAAAAAAAAAAGAAACAACGAGAGCCTGGAGGAGGAGGATGCAGAGTCCGACAGAAACGTTTCACTCTCACAGAGTTCACCGCGGACCCAGGATGTCGGATCCGAGAGGCGACCACAGGCTGCACTCGGTGGGACCAAAACAAACAGGCAGACACTCGACAGGTGCGGTGCAGCGAGTCATGCCGAGCGAAGGTGCTGGAGCTGCAGAGCGGGCTAGGTTACCGCAAGATGAGCAACTCTGGATTTACAGCAACCTGCGGCTCTACATGAAAATAAAAATAAAAAAACAAGGAGAGGAGCAATACAGTGGAACAGAAGTTCTGCAGGTTCTAAACGAACAGGGTCATATAGATCAGGAATCGGAAGCCGTCATCTTAGCGTTTTTTAAAAATGGTTTCATAACAAACCTATGCTAAAGTGGCATCTTTTTATGTAAGGCCACAATATTTTAATCAGGGTACAAATACATTATACTTATTGGTTTAAAATAAAAACAACCAAAAAAATGTAAATCTAGAATAGAATATCAGCTAAAATCTGCAAAAATATTTTCGCCAACTCGGCTGCTTTAAGTTAAGAACATCAGATCTTGTTAACCGATTAACCAAAACCTGGAAACCAGTTTCCTGCTGCATCACGACTCGCTCAGACGATTTGTTCTCATCTGTTAAGCCTTTTTTTTTTTTGCGGATTATATTCAAGTTTGTAACCCTCCCTCTTCAGTGTGTTGAATGCTGGTACACTGTACAGCCCATGCATTTGTCAAGCTTCAAGGTAAAGACCCGTTCAGTGACGTTTTGATGAGTGGAGGATGTCCCCCGTGGGAAAGGCACTGAGAAACGCGGCTGCAGCGAGCGTGGATGTCGGTGTCACGGAGCTGAGGTAGAAACCACACGGATCTTAAGAGTGCAGCCTGATGATCCCCTCTGCAGCGACACTGATGCATCCGCACGGATCCAACAACAGCTAACTGGCCCCGCCCCTTTCCCGCTGAGCAAGACGGGACAGGGCCACATGGCGACAGGTCGACAAAAGGTCAAATAAAGAGGTATTGTAGTTACAGTGCAAAAAGATGAGAAGTTCAAGCTTAATACAAAAACATAGCACCAAACAGAAAAGAGACAAGAGATGCATGCAGTTAACTGAGGTATTCACGTGAAAAAAAAATAAACAAAAACAAAAAACAAGGCTTATCGACCACATTTAGCAGGAAGCAACATTAATCAGAAGGAAATAAAATCCAAAGCTGGTTTCCTCAGGAATAATTCAGCCTCGGATCATCGTCACATGTTGATTCAGCTTTGGTACATCCGGCAGAGGCGGACAGCTCTTCGCCTGTCGCTGAGCCGTCTGCATGTTTCCACTGGAGCCACAACAACATGGGAACATCTACAGTAACTGGGAATGTTGGGTCTCCTAACTCAGGATATGAGGGCCGGCCTCAGGGTCAGAGGCCACATCATTTTCATCATAATCATGAGTTCATGTTCACTCGCTTTGCTACGAGGGGGGTTTTGGCGTCAGAGTGACAGATTGTTCGGAAAACTGATGGAATAAGTGCAAACTGATGAAGAAACCGGCTGGAGGTGTAGAGAGAGAGAGAGAGCCGGGAAACTGCAGTGGTATCGGACCCATTTCACTTCCACCGGGCCCGGAGCTTTTTCTAAGATTGAGCAAGAGGTTCGTCTAACGAACACAGCAGCACACCTGACCTCTTCAGCTGGGACGATAAAGCACTCGTGGTCACACGAAGCACAAACAAAGATTGTATCTGCGCAAAGGAAAAGGTAAAATAAGCAGGATGTGAGCTCAGAGTGTTCTGCTGTGGCGTCTCCACGCGGCGTTCCGGGGACCGCCGCTCTGTCCTCTCTGCTAGGTGCTAATGCTGGGAGCTGCTGGCAGCTCAGTTGGTTTGGACCTGAGGTTGATTGGCTTTGAGGCTGCGCAGAGCTCGGCGGGCAGCCGCCGACTTGGCGATCCGGTAGCTGCGGCCGACTCCTTTGAACTTTCCCTTCCCGACTACCTCCACCGTCACACGCACCTTCCCGTCGTAGGTACGCTCTGCAGGGCTGCGGACAGGAACATGAACACATCAGCACCCGGTGGGAAACTTACGGAGCATTTAGAAACTTGATTTTGTCATAAAACAAGAATCTCATCTTTTTATTGTTTGAGACGGTAATGTAAAACAAACCCCACAGGCTCAAATCTGTATATAAGATTAGATAAGATAATAAAATATGCAATTTTTCCCAACTATTTAAAGGTTTATTCCTTATTTTCTTATTTATTTCCTGTTAACTTCCAGTAGAACCAAGATGTTGGGGCGTCCTACCTAAATTTGGCAGTTTCTGGTTCCATCTCCAGGAGTTCCCGGACAGGAGAGCGAGGAACGTTGGCAGAAAATTTCTCTGGAGGAAAAGAATTTGCAGGGATGAGACAGATGGACAAACGCCGAACAGAAACCATCAGAGAAACTCACCAATGAGAGGCCTCATCATTGGATAATAGACCTGCCACACCGTCTCCAGGGACATCCTGCTGTCCATGTAAATGGCTCCAGCCAGAGACTCAAAGATGTCCCCCATGGCCTTGGGCACCTCGATGTCCTCCTCCTTCTCCTCGTCCTCCTCAGAGCGTCGCAGCTAAAGGAAAACACAAACACTGCTAAAGTGAAGGAGGACATGTAGCGTTCCGGCACACCGATGAGATTTTTGGCATGTAGTAGCTGTAGATGTTCATAGTTAATTCCACTAACCTCTCTAGGTAACAGATACTATCCATTCCTCTCCCTATGTAGTCACTTATCTACCTTCAGCTCTGTTATTGCCAAACTTGACAATAGCTAAACAAAAACGCTTGATTCAATCTGCCATTGATGCAAAGTCATGCTCTCACACCCAGGTGAACAGCAGGCAAAGGTTGCACGGTTTTAAGGCAGAATCATGGAGGTTTGCATCGAACAGAAATCCGCTGTTCATCCGCACGGTTACTCTGCTTCTAAAAAAAGAGCAGCCATGTTGCTGCATAGGTGAGGCTGCCTCAGGAAAACACCAAAATTTGGTCAAGCTTATATTTTTCAAATTTAGTGGAGATAGAACCGCCCACCAAATATGAAAAAAGAAGAGAAGGAAGGAAACAGGACCAGGTTAAAGTACCTGAATGAAGGGAGAATGAGATGAGCAGAACAGAGAAAATTAGTGCACTATTCAGCAGGGGTGCAAAATGAAAGGTTTGAGGGTACAGGCAGAAAAAAATCTGATTTATCAATTTAAACTCCTGTCAATCTATACTAGCTGGACAGGAAAACACAGAAGAAAACATTTCAGAAGAGTCTGTGATCAACTTTTAAAAGATATTTATATAAATATTAGGGGTGGAACAGTTCACAAAATCCACGGTTCGGTTCACGGTTTCGTGGTTACGGTTTTCGGTTCGGTATATGTTTATTGTTACACCGAAAAATAAGAAAAAAATTATAAAAATTAATGAATTTTTTTTTTAATGAAATTAATGAAAAAATCTAAAAATATTAATGAATTGTAATCATTTTTAAATGATTCGCGGAAACCCTGGATCATTTCCACATGTTTTGCTGCTTTGAATTTAATCATCTCGCGCATGCTCTCTACCATCTCCAAGGAATTCAGAGCGGAGCGGACGGGAGCCACAGAGGAGGCTGTAGGCTTTGTTTTGTGCAGGCGGTCTTGAGCGCAGCGGGGCGGAGCGCTAACAGAGTATGTGGGATTTCGGGGTTAGGATGACATGTTGGTCATGTTGCTGTTAGCATAAACAAAACGTGTTGCACAATGCTTACACACTGTTGCACTTTTATCCACAACTTTCTTTCCGCCGTCATCGTAGGTTACTCTAAATGGTTCCATACAGCAGACCTATAAAGTGCTGCTGGCGCGTCTTCCAACTCCTGTTCTTTCCCACTCGCCATACCCACACAATTCTCCACCACACCTGTTTTTTTTCTGCTACGCCCGGCTACGCTGCTTCGCTTCTTCTTCTTCTTGTTTACTACTGGTGGTTGGCTTTGGTCGCAGTACCGCCACCTTCTGCTCTGGAGTGTAAACGCTTCGGCTATGAGAAAAAGGAGCAGCACATGAACCGAACGAAACACACGCGAATCGAACCGAGACAGTCGAACCGAACGGTTCGGACGGTTTTCATAAACCGTTCCATCCATAGAAGGAAGGAAACAGGACCAGGTTAAAGTACTGGAATGAAGGGAGAATGAGATGAGCAGAACAGAGAAAATTAGTGCACTATTCAGAAAGTGTTCAAAATGAAACGTCTGAGGGTACAGGCAGAAAAAAATCTGCTTTATCAATTTAAACTCATGTCAATCTATACTGGCTGGACAGGAAAACGTGGAAGAAAACATTTCAGAAGAGTCTGTGAGCTGGAAGAGATACAGCTATCTCTTCCAGCTCAAGATGCAGATTAGTTGGGTACACTCCTGTTGGTGTTAAGTGTTCTCCTTGTTGGTTTTTATAAGATAACTGTGTTGCAAATATGTTAATGTTCGTAAATGAGAAGACCAGAGCCACTAATGATCATGAAGTTGATGCAGAGGTAAAGGATAATGCCGTTAGGAGTGAGCGAGAAGAGGGAGTGACAGTAGAATGAAGAGAAGTTGAGAAGAGAAGAGTGGAGCAGGATGCATAAAAATAAATAATCCAGGGTCAAGGACATGATGGGAAATAGGTCTTATCGTCATCTCTAAGGATCTGAGGATTGTATTCCAAACTTTGGCTTATTCACACCTGAATCAGGAGGGAAAATGATTCATATAAGAGCATCTATTAAATGATAGAGCTCTGGCTTTTTCCTTAATATTTGCTTATTTTTTTTATCATATGCTGCTTGTTTAGAAAACTGTCATAAACTTTGCTGCATATCATACATGCTTGATGTCCTGCACGCATATTAACATTGCAAACATGTAGATAAGCTGAACTGACATGTTTGTAGGTAAAACGTGTTGGTATTTAAACAAAGGAAAAACTGAAATGTCTGCAAATGACTGATTTAAAGTGTAGTTCCCAGATTTTAAATTAAACAATAAACCACTGCACTAACAAGCGGATTTTTTTTCTGTTTCCCAGATGTGATGGAAGAAAACTAGCTCAGTAGATTTACAAGCTGCTCTCTCCGAGAGGAATGGATGCAGCCACAGGAGTTTGCCTGCAGTGAGAAAATGCAACCATTTGATAGTTTGATTTTAAACACTGATCTGAGTTTTAAATGAGCATCAGATTTATGTTAGAGAATTATTGGCTCCAGAACAAATAGATGATTGTTTTGAAATGTTGGTGTGGTTAACCCATTAGCTTTAGATTAATGCTCTGATCTGTACGTTTAGACTGAAAATAAACTAACAGGAAGACAAATTATTTTTTGTTTTAAGTGACTGACAATCATTAAAAACAGAGCCAAACACAACCACATATTTTCTACTTTTTTATTTTATTTCTGCTATTCCTGAGGCAGAACAATCTTTCTCGGGAACAACAGAAGCAGATCTGATGCCAAATTCGTCATTTCCAGGCAAATTGAATCCAAATGTCTGTTATTCTCGGTCCTGAACCCTCTGGAATATGAAGCAGATATTTGCTGAGAGTTGAGATTCCGGCTGAAGGCCTCAGGTGTTCACTCACTCACCTCAGAGTCCATGCCCTGCATCTCGTCCTTCTCCAGCTGGAACTGCACAAAGTCGTCGATGACGTGGAACAGCTCTGGAGAGATGGCCTTGAAGAACTTGTGATAGTCGTATTTCACGGCGAGCGAGGCGAAGATGGTGTTGTTGACGAGCGCCGAGCGCAGGTCGGTCAGCACTCCGGGCGAGTGTTGCCGCGGGTCTTCATAAAGGTGCTTCGTTATGAGGTAGTCTAAAATCGCGTCGCCCAGAAATTCCAGCCGCTGGTAACAATCTGAGGACACAGCAGACAGCCGGTGTCAGAGACCAGCATCATGGCGAGCGGTAGTTACCCAATGAGGCCAACCGGACCTGTGATGGTGTTATAGTGGTACGAGGCGTGGGTGAAGGCCTGCAGCAGGTACGCCTTGTTCTGAAATGTGTAGTTGATCTTTTTTTCAAAGTTTTCAAAGCCCGAGATGAGGTGCTGCAGCGTCCGCTCTGCGTCAGGGTGGGACAACATGCAGCGAGGCGGGATCTTTAACCAGCCGTACATCAGCTCCACGGCTGAGGTCAGAACTCGTGGCACCACCGCTGCCGTGTGAGAGCCCCTCTGCACCGGCAGCACCTGCCAACAGCAGCATCAGGAGAGAACAAAGGAATATGGGTGAGTATTGGCCAGGATGGAGCGATGAGACACGCATCCTGATACTGAAGAATTTTGCCCAAAAAAAAGCTATTATTTTCAACCAATATTGGGATTTTATTTAGATTTCCCTATGCACCATCCCCAAGCATGTAGATGTGTTATTAAAGTGTTTCAGTTTTTTCATTCCCTTCAAAGCTTGTTAATTAAGAGTCCATAGTTGCAGGACATTAAGCCGGGCATACACTGTACGATTTTTTGCCTTTCTGAGCCCCATTCTCCAGTTGTGTGAGAATTTTTCGATCGGGCCGACTTTCAGCCTCATCGTGCGTCCTGCTTCGTTTAGTACACAGGGGGTAAACAGGTAGGATTAGCCTCTCACAACCACCTCCTAATCAGGAATCAGGTAAGGTCAGGAGAAAATCTTTTAAAACATCTTTTAAATTCAGTCGGCCGTCGTAAGGTTGCATCAGAGAGTCAGGCTGCACAGTGTGAGAACAGGAATCCTGAGCTGTGAACTTTTAAACCCTGCACTTTGATTGTACAGTTTGAGCTGTAGCTGCGTGCAACAATAGAAAATAAAGCATTGTATGCCCTGCTTTATTCTATCTTTTGTCTGAAAAAGTGTTCACTTCTACCTGCCTGCTAAAGGCCAATTTATGCTTGACTCTGCAACCGTCAAATCTGTCTCTGCGACCACGCCCCCGCACAGTCTTTCCAGCTGTCTGTGTTGTCGTCCTTCTCAATTCGGTGTTTGGGTGCGCCATTTTTAAAAAAACTGAGAAACAACTACAAAGGACAACTACAATGAAAGGTTAATCGAGGAGGTTCGCTCCATAAACAGAACCTGTTCCCTTTCGATGTCTAGCAACTCTAGATCCATCTCTGTGATCGTGATATCTTGCAGACGCGCCATTGTTGTTTTGGAAGATAAGCACTCCCGCCGGTGCCGCCAAAGTTCTCGTGAGTTCTCGATCAGGCTCCCCCTTGCGCTTTGGCGGGAAACTGCTGTGCGTCCCTAGAAATTAAAAGCCGACGGTTCAGAAGCATACCAGCAAAACTGGTTTGCCACCAGAACCAAGCGATATTTGAAGTGCGCGGTTGCAGAAGTATAATCTGCCCTTTAAATTTGCATGCTAGCAGGAAGCTTAATAAATTTTTCGTGGAAACAAACCCACTTTAAACATAGTACAGCTAATTGGATGTGCCCTAAATCCTCTAATATTGGCCTGTATTCCATTAGCGGCCGGGTCTCTAATAATGGCCGGTCTCGCTGTTGGCGGAGGTAAATATTTGGCCGTACTCGTATACAGGCCGGGGCTATAATTAGAACCAACGAGCAGATGGTCAGTCCTCAACAACTTGTGATAGTAACATGCAAGTACCACTGGGGGGCAATGTTTGCTAACGAATCCAAGCCATTAGCATTGGAAATCCCACCCTTACATAGAGATCGTAGTGGCCTTACACAATCGTTCTGATCTGAAAGACAAATGTGATTACCAGTAGGTCTGGTGGTAACCTGCACGTTAAAATGACAGAATTTCGTCGGCCTCGTTGTTCTGAATTTCCCTTGAAATATACGATACTGGTAGCCAACTTCCACTTAGCCTGCCTCAAATCAAATTTGGCTGTGATGGCAGAACAGTTTCCATTTTTTTTTTTTTTTTTACTTTGTTTCGCAAGTCAGTTTGGCCAAGATTCCATTCTGCGTCTTTTTCTTTTCGTATTGCCGTGCAGAAAAATTGCTGCTGCTGGAAGATGTCTGAATAATGTTCTGTATACCGTTATTGTAACTGCACTTTTTCAATAAATGAACCTAGTATTTTATAGGTTCAAAGAGACACAAAATCTCGTTTTTATTCATTCCACTGGTAGTCTGTTTTGATCAAATAGAAATAGACACCTGCCTCTAATTCTGGCCTCCTTCTAATAATGGCCTGGACCAAGATGTAGAAAAACTTTGTCTGATAGTCTTGCAAAATGTAACATGACCAGAATTGGGTGAAGATTGCATTTCCTTAAATTGGGATTAAATTGCAAATGCAATGAATTGCCCATCCCTACTTGGGTCACAACACGATTATATTACGGTATATTACGATATTCTACTCAGAAAATATCAACATTAAATGTAAAGATAAATAAGAAAGAACAGTCTGTATATGTTCACCAGAAGGTATTGATCATTCAATTATTTGTTGTTTTAGTAGACATGCTGTTTGGGGAGGTGCGCTGAAAAGAAAAAAAAACCCGGCGGCATCTACAGAAGGGGGTTGTGATAGTAGTATATTGCACCCCATTGTTTTATGGGAAAAATATTGTTTAAAAAAATCGAAATATATGGCCAAAATAGATCTTTCCCCCCTCCAAATGTCCTAAAAAGGAAACACTAAGCATAAAACTCTGGATTAGGAAGTAGTCAGACAATAAATTACACTGAAACAAGAGATATGAATGAATATACAGATTAAGGTAAGAAAAAAACGAGCTAGGATGGAAAGTGATAATGAACCAAAGAACTCTGTTCAACTCTTCACTGTTTTGGGACACTGATGAATTTGCTTTAAATAGGGCTGAAAAAATGTATTATATTAATTGTGATTAATCGATTATTTAAATAATCGTCAACTAATTTAGTAATCGATTAACTGGAGTGCAGAGACTCTTAAGCGTACCTTTAGCTGACAGAACGACCCACTTAGAGCAGTAATTACCAAAATTATACAAAAAAAAATAAATATGTAAATGGCAGTACTTCCTAATTTCATAAAGAGGAACCTTCTTTAAGGAACCTTTTACTGTCCGATTATTAACCGAAAATATAATCGATAGATGAATCGATTTGCAAAGTAATCGTTAGTTGCAGACGTACTTTTAACTAGGGCTGGGCGATAATTCAATAATGATATATATCGATCGATAGACGTTTGGCGCAATAGAAAAAAAGAGGGTCGATAAAAGTTCGATAAAAAAGAAACGCAGTTTTCCTTCCTTCTCATTGTAGCCTAGCATGTAGGTTTATGCTAGTCACTGCTTCCTCCCAACCAATCACAATCGCGGACCCAGGCACGCCGTCACAAAGCGCCGCCCTCTCAAACCACAACACAGAGCACATGAAGATGTGCAGCAAGGAGAGGCGGATGAAATTGTTTCAAAGAAAGGTTTTTGAACCAGTGAAAACGAAGTCTGATAACACAACCAACTTTTTTTTTTTTTTATCATCTCAGCCGCTCACACCCAGGAGTACGAGCTGAATATATATATTCAGTTCTGGGCAGTTTCCCACGTAGTTCTAACAATTGAGAGAAAAATACTGAGGGGCCAGAAACTTCAAAGTAATAACTCATGTTAAAGCAGGAAACGGGGCCGGCGGCGGCGGTGGGGGGGGGGGGCATTTATTTATTTGTTATATTTATTTTGGTCACTTTTCTGGTCACTTTAGTTTATTCTTTGTCAGTATTTAATAACATAACTCAGGTCTCTTAAGTTATTTTTCTTTAAAACAATTCTGTTATGGTTAAAAAAGTTGGTTAAATAAAGATTTAATTCGAAGTCTGCGTTTGTGTTTTTTATTAAAATTAAATAATTTAGCAATATTATAAAAAGTCCAGGCAGAGCTGCACATAAAATATGGTTTAAAATCTTTTCAATAATTATCGATATCGATCAATATGTATTTTTTTTTATCAATAAGCTTTTTTTCTATATCGCCCAGCCCTACTTTTAACCCAGTTTTTCTTTTTCATCTGAAGAGGATAATTATCAGTGAAACAGGAGAAAGCATTGAATAATCTGTGAGTTTTCTGAGGTTTGATATTTATTCCTGCTGTGTGAGGCATCTCCAGATTAAGATATTCTGTCTCACCTTGAGGCCCAGCGAGCAGAGGAACATCTGGGCGGCCCTCTCCCCACAACTCGTCAGGTAGCAGCCAAGCAGAGCCTCCACACAGTCGGCGATGCTCTTGTCTGCGATACACTGCTCTGTGTGCAGATCGTAGGAGATGGACTGCTTTCCCAGCTCCGTGCCGCAGTTCTCCTCCGATGGATTCCAGAACCCCACCACAAAGTCGTCCTCTTCGCCCGCCTTGCTGGGGTCCAGGTAGCACATGGCATCCCACGAACTGTAGTCAAACTCCTCGGCCGCTGAACCACAGTGGGAGTGAGGGGCGGGCTTCTTGGGGGCCTTCCAATCATAGGAGGAGTCCATGGAAGGGGAGGAGCCTGGAGCTGGGCTTGTGGGGGGGCCGAAGCTGCTGAGGGAGATCTTCTTTCCAAACGCCCCGGACCCCAGGAGCATGTTGTCAATGAAACGGATGTGCTCCTTGTAGTATTCCAGGTCATCCTCCATGTTGACGTCATCCTTTGGTTCATCCTTCAACATCAGCTCATCTTCATCCACATCCTCACCCTCGTCGTCCCGATCCTCATCATCAAAGTCGTTTCCAGATCTACCGTTGGAAACCAGCTCCTCTCTCGCCTGGATGACCGACGGGAAACATGAAGAAGAGAGTCAACCTCATGTCCAACATCAACCTGGTGTCACCCCAAGCAGGTTTCTATAGAAACAGGAAAGAGAACCAACCTCCTCAGAGTCCACTCGGTCTGAGCTGCTTTTGTCCTGGTTCACCACGTATCCAGGAGGCAGCCAATTCACAGGAGGGTCAAAGATGGACACCACCATCCTGCTGGGAAGCCCCTTCTTCTTCCCCAGACGGTAAAGGTTACAGTTGCTCACCTGAGGGACACAAGACCATGAAAGGCTTCTGGTAGATTCATGCTGGAATAGAGAGCTAAACATTCTATCTGTTCTGGTTAGTGGAACCTAATAGACTGGCTAACGTTGGTCTCTCGCACCTTTTTGCTGCGCATATAGCTGAGTCTCCCTTCGTGCGCGTCAGGGTAGGTGCAGAACAGGTAGGTGGTGATGGCGTGCTTCAGGAAGGAATCCCCGAGCATCTCGAGCCGTTCCAGGTTGAAGCCGTCGCTGGCGTTGGACAGAGTCAAGGCCTGCAAGATGAGGCCAGGGTTGGGGCCCAGGTTCCTTGGGGAGTCCACAGCCTGGGGCCCGGCGGTTAGGTCAGGGGAAGGTGCTGTACGAGTGCAGTCTGAGGTAGCTTCATTAATGTGGTGCGAGGTCCTCCCGGAGGTACATTCATGGCTGGGCTGAGGAGGACTTGAGCTGAGGGGGGCCTGCGCAGGAACTGAGGTAGCGTCGTGTTTCCATTCAGAGCTGCCGTCGCAGCCTTGGCAACTGTCAAGTTGTTGAAGGTGCTCGTCTCTGTGGCCGTCATTGATCACGGTAGTGCCATTTGTTAGGTTCCCAGTGCAGGGCCCGTCTGCAGGGGCCAGGAGTGGCCCCTGGTGACTGCTGGGAAGTGCTAAGAAAGTGAGATTTTGGTGCTTACATTCAGCCTCTTCGCTGCAGGATTCGGGACAGGGGCTAAGAGCTTTTATGTCAATGGATCTCTTCCAGCCAAAGTCCAGGTTTGGATACCTGTGGATAACATAGAAGCAAGTTAATTGAACGTTAGTAGAGATAGAAAAAAAAACTGCCCAATCAACAGGGAGAACAGGATTAGCAACTAAAGCCCAGTCAAGGTTTGGGTGCAAGATTCATAAGCTGTGGGAGTCAGTGGTTCAAGAAGGACCACAAAACCAGAGACACACCAAGAGGACCAATCTTCTCTTCAACACCAAAGTAAATTTCACTTGCTTTTTATATCATTTGTAAATGAAGGTCTCGGATTCAGTCGGAAGATGATGATGTTGATTTGCCAACAAACTATCCTTACCTAAACCTCAAAACGAACCAAAGGGTATCATCTAAAGAAAACAACAGACACCAGACCCTGCCAATGCCTGCCATCACAGCAATATGGGATTTTATTACACACCAACAGAACCAAAGGCTGATCACATCCATGTCACGCTCCACTAATGAATGCATCTGTGCAAAAAGACACCCAACCAAGGAGAGAAAAGGTTTTTTGGACTATGGAATATAGTTTATTACAACAGAAATAGACGGCTAAAATGTTTTACTGTGTGAGCAATAACTCTAGAAACATTTTGCAAGTTTTCAATTTTAGATTAAATTCATTAGAAGGTCATCTGGGTTAAAACTGTAATTCAGATACTTCTGGTTTCCACACTAATACATCTAGCACCTGAGAAGGGATGGGCTAAAATGTTGGCCACAGATTCCTAAGATCAATAATGGTTGATTACTGATCAGAGAGCAAAGTTGCAGACCTGATATATTCCTATATAAATATCAACACTAGGCCTCAGCTTTGTCCTTTAATTTTTGCTCACTCTGCATTTGTGGTTGACACTCCTGAACCTCACAGTTACTGTTGGTCTGGACATAAAGGGTTAGGGATCAGAGCAGCATCACATTGATATCATGACCGTTAAATAACTATAGGACATAAATTGAAGTTTCAGTGATCTATGCTTGTGTTCTTCAAAAAAATTAATAAAAATCTGCAGAATAAATGGGAAAATTTGTATATTATAATGAGTTTTCATTATTCCCGAAGTATGAGCACCAAGTGGCACTAGTTCTCCTCTCACAGCTGCAGAGTATGAGCTCAAACGCTAAGATAATCGCTTTAAAGAACAATTGCTATTAACCCTAAATGATGCAACAGAGATGACTGGGTCTGCTGAGTCACCTGAAGTCAGGGGGGAGGGTCTTCACCCCCACTCCAGCCTCGGTGGCAGTCTGAGCCCGCAGCTCCTCGGCCGTCAGCAGGCAGTGGAGGCGGTACAGGATGCTGGGCAGACACACAGCTTTCCTCCACAGGGAGGCCGGAATAGGATGGATGGCACACAGCTCCGGAACCAGAATCTGACACCAGAACATCCACGGTTAACAGGCTGAAAGCTGCAGTACTCACAGAACAAGCAAAACGCTGAACAGATCTACCTGTTTGTTCTGCAGACTCTCCCATTTGGCCTTCCTCTTCTCCGCACTGCTCAGAGGCAAAGCTTTCCCCTTCTGGTTCAGGTGTCGAGGCGTCAACAGGTTCAGTCTGAGGACAGCAGAGACCCGATCAACTGAGGCCCAACCAAAATGGCAAAAAACAGCATTTCTAACAGTTTTAAAATCCAAAGAATGAGGTTTATTGTGCTGTCAGCAGTCCAAAAGTCTGGGTAATGCTACTTAAGTCACTTGATTCCTGTCAATAAGACGGTCAGATATGTTGGCAGTATGAGGAACTGGGGGCGGCAGGTGAGCTTCCTCTGCCTCTTAAACTCACTTAGCTTCTCAGAATAACCCATCAAGTCTGAGTCCTGCTTACCTTGAAGAGGTGTGGTCTACATCCAGCAGCGGCTGGTTCAGGTTGGACAGGTCCAGGTTGTACTTGGTTTTGTAGTACTCTGCGAAGGTCTCATACTCCGGCGATGGGAACTTGCTGAGCGGCGTCAGGTCTGTGTAGACGTCAGCGACGTAGAAACGATGAGGCTGGTCGAAGTTTCGATACCTGAGGAGGAGACGGCCGACAGCTGTTCAGCATTTTACTGTCTGCAGGGTGTGAAACAATCAGAGCAAAACTGAGGTACCTTGGAATGATCACAGCATCCTGGTAGTCCTCCAGCTTGAAGATGAAGGGGTTCTGCTTGGTGTACTTAGTGGTAGGAATGCCTGTTCGGGCCTCTGACTTCTCAATGTCTTCCATGAACATAAAGTCCATATCAAGAGTGTCAGAGTCTCCAACTGAAACGGAAGACATGGGATGAGGTTAGGATGCCGACTGGGACTGTATAGTATGAGGAAGAGGAGGAGCACTCACCGACATTCAGAGGTAGAACGCAATAAGCCGAGTCCGCCAACGTTGGCTTGAACTCAAGTGCAGGTTTCTCTAGACGGAGGATGTGAGAGAAGATGTACTGATGCATGCGGGTGATGAGGTCCAGCTGGGCCGAGCTGAGTGTGAAGCCCGACTTCTGCAGCTCGATGGAGATGGTCACCTCCCCAGAGCGCGTGTACACCGGGAAATGGGGGATCTATAAACCAAGAAGATGTAGAATCGCGGTTATCCCAGAGAGGGGAGAAACATAGCAGGATTCATGGAAAGAGAAGCGTGCGGATGTAGACGCACTCGGGGTATCGGTTTGGCTGTCAGGATGCCGAAGCATCGAGTGGTGTCCTCGGGGGGGTACAGCTTCCTCCTACGGAAGTTCAGCTCATCGGGGAGCGGCGTGGTGAGGACCATCCCAATCACATACAGGAAGTAGGTCTGCTCCGGCAGGGCGTAGCTGTCTTGCAGACATTCTGGTATCTGTCGAAGAACAGGACACAACGCCGTTAGGTTACTGATCCAACTTCAGATGACTGGGCTGAAAAGAGGCAGACGTACGGCTTTAGGGTAGCACTGCCTCCTTTTGGTGGAGCCGGGCCGACCCGGGACATTGGTCTCCTCCTCGTCGTGGAGGTCAAGCTCCTCCTCGTACTTCACCGTCTCCTTCCCCACAGGCATCAGGTGGTCGTCCAGCTCGCCTGTGAAGGAGCGCAGAGCAGGATGAGCCGAATCAAACAGCAGAGATCCAAATTAGCCTTCCTGATAATCTAACTCTGAGGTTTACCTATTTTATGGAGTTTTTCACAGCAGAGCAGAGCAACAGCTTTCTCAGACAGACGGGCGCAGTTCATGACGGGACCCTGAACATACAGACCCCTCAGTATGATGGACAGCATGAGATCAGGCATTAAGAAACTACGGCAAAGGGTCTGTACCTTGACTGGAACTCTCAGAGGAGAGTTTATGGGTAAGAAGAGCGTAGACTGAAAGCGTCCATCTCTTGTCTCCACGGTTTTACATTTGGGAGCGAGGTGCGTGAACGGGTCACTGGGCAGCCGAGCACAATACCTGAGGACAGCAGGAGCTTAAACACTCGTTCTCCTTCAGAACCCATCCAATCACACAGACCTGAGGAGGATACCTGTTAATGTGCCCGATGGCAGTGTTGATGGTGACGCGTGGACCTCCATCCTCAGAACGCAGGACATACGGAGGGAGGAGGTTATCATCATCCATACTCTGCTCCGCTTCAAACTCTCCAACCTCCACGGATTTAGAGCATTTATTCCTCAGGATCTGCTCAGAGGAAAGTCGCAGCACCATGAAGTTTTCCTGTCCTTTTCCTCCATCAGATGATATTCCTCACTTTAGAAAACAAAAATATACCTTCTCGATGGCCTTGTAGGTGGTCAGATCTTCTTCGAAGCTCTTGGTCCGCTCAGAATCAGCCAACATGATGTAGTTGGAGACGGGGGCCCGGGCTCTACCCTTGGACTGAACATAGGACCTGTACTCTGTGGGCAGGTCGAAGCGGACCACCAGGTTGCACTTTGGAATATCTACACCTTCTTCCACGATGCTGGTGGCAATCAGCAGGTTGGTCTCATGAGCCCTGAACTTTCGGAGAACCTGCGAGGAGAAGATGGACTAACTCAGCCGTCCTGTCACAGCTGTACACGGTCCAACAAAGGAAAAGTTGTTCACCTCCTCCTGCTTCCTGAACTCCACCTCCATCTGCTTGTTCCTCAGCTGGTTCTTGCCGATGCTGTGGCCGGTGATGAAGTTGCTGCTGATGTAGGCCAGCTCTGGGTCCTGCTTCCCTGCTTCTTTGATCAGACTAAAAAACAAATAGTGGTAAACCTGGAAGCTCATTGACTGCTTTTATCAGCTGATCATGTGAACTAAAACTACTCTTCTCAATAAGTAAGAAGGAAATAAAGAAAATTCTTGGAGAATATCAGATCTGGATCATCATACCGGTTCAGAACCACAGCTGTGTAGCGCCTCTCCACAAAGATGATCCCGCACAGGATGTTGGTGAACGGAGAAGGAAAGTTAGCCTCGGGCCTTTCTTTGGCCTCCACCTCCTCGTCCTCGTCTTCGTCCTCCGAGTCGCTCCACGATACGTAGTTGTCCTGGTTGCGGTTGTTGTACCACTCAACGCTCTCGAACTGCTGTCGCTCCAGTGGCTTATACTCATGCAGGATCTCCAGCAGCCGCAGGACCTTCGGCGTGACGAACTTCAGGTCCAGGGAGGCGGGGGAGAAGTGCTCCTCGCAGAGAGCGTGCACCTTACGCAGGATGGTGTCGGTAAAGAGCAGGAACTTTCTATTGAGTTCTTCCTGCTCGTGTTTGATGTACTTCTGCAGCTCCCGCACCATTATACCCGCAGCCTTATCTGCACACCAGGGACCAAGAACCAGCAGCACAGCCCGGCAATCGCTCAGGATCTACAGCAAGATGAGGGAATCAGATGAAACACTCAGGAGCCATTTTAACAGTCTTTATTTCCAATATAAATCTGCATGTTTGTGTGATTCACACCTGTTTGGATATAAAGGTGGGATCTCTGTCCTCCCTGGAAACATGGATGTTACAGTCGTTGAGGAAGAGGAGAGCTTCATCCAGCTCTGCCTGCAAACGGGATGAAAGGCCGCTCTTGTCCACGTAGGGACCACAGTCCAGCACCACCTCCCTCGGCTGAGAGGTGTACCTGAAACATGCAGCCATTGTTACTGCGACAGAAACCAGAGCAAGAGAGGTTCCAATTCACCAATATTTTACCAGTCTCCTCCTAAAGCAGTAAATGCACCAGATGCGTTACATCTCGTATCTTCATGAGATGCGTGTCACAGCTTCCCATTTTAGACAGTTACATTGTTTACACAACACTGTTCCTAATTTAGGTCGAGATTCTAATTTAAGGGGCATATACGCTCCTGTTTGGCAAAAAAAAAAAAAAAAACATCTGATGGCAAAAGTTCCTCTTACAAAGACCTCATCAACCAGAAGACAGAATGCTGAGGTGAGCGTTCTCCTTGGTGATCTATAAAATAATATACAAAACATAAACTTACTAAAGTAATTAGGGCTGTAACAGATGCTGGCCCTAATCAATATAAAGGGCCGTATGTAGTGGTAATGTCGATTTAACTGAGTGTCTGAACTTCAAGTGGATAAAAAAATAGTGTACTCGAAATTTCCCACAATGCACCTTGAGAAGTAGTGATCATCCATAGTAACTAGACGAGCAGATATATCCCCGAAAGCTTCAAGAAGAGCTCCCTTTTTGCAAAGCATTATGGGATTTTTTTGTCATGGCTGTCGCTACCTGACAGCGGTGACAAATAAAGTTGGCGAAGGCACTGTGCGTTGGAGGCGGAGTCACGTGACCAACAGAGAGTGAATAGTAGGGATCATCTGTCCAAAGGGTGGGGTAACTGAGTTCACTATAAAGTCCACCATAGTCACCACTCTATATATTGATTAAAGGATTAAGGGGTTAAGGTGGACGTTCAGACACAGCCTAGATGTCCCAGTTTGTACGGGATAGTTTAGATTTTTTGTCTTTTAAAAATGTCTCCCCTGCCGCCCACAAACTAAAGCAGGTTCCCCCATTTGAGCGGGACAAATTCTTTTTTTTAAAGGTCAAATATATTGACATGCACCTTTTCCTAAATGCGATATCCCCTTGTCCCACATTATGGCTAAAAACACACAAATGACATATATATTTAACAATTATTTAACTGAATTCACAAACTTTGTTTTAACAGGGAACAAAACAAATCAGTTTTAAAGCCACAACATAACCAGTATTTTTTGCAGTTATTTTTCTATGTATCGTTTTCTTAACACGTTGGATTTGGTGATAAGTAGAGGCGTTGTAGAGACAAGGGTGGAACAAAACTGAGAAACACCGGCTGTTTCTCGGTAACTCGATTTTTACGCTTTGTGTTTCGGGCTTCGCATGTGTGACTCCACTGCCTTAATTCCCATCGTTCCGAGCTTGAACGACTTCTTGCACAAAATACAGGTGCTGGTCATAAAATTAGAATATCATGAAAAAGTAGATTGATTTCAGTAATTCCATTTAAAAAGTGAAACTTGTATATTATATTCATACATTACATACAAACTCATATATTTCAGATGTTTATTTTGTTTAATTTTGATGATTACAAATGACAACAAATGAAAATCTCAAATTCATCATATCAGAAAATTAGAATATTGTGAAAAGGTTCAAAATTGATGGCCCCTGGTGCCACACTCTAATCAGCTAATTAACTCAAACCACCTGCAAAAGCCTTTAAATGGTCTTTCAGTCTAGTTCTATAGGCTACACAATCATGGGGAAGACTGCTGACTTGACAGTTGTCCAAAAGACGACCATCGACACCTTGCACAAGGAGGGCAAGACACAAAAGGTCATCGCTAAAGAGGCTGGCTGTTCACAGAGCTCAGTGTCCAAGCACATTAATAGAGAGGCGAAGGGAAGGAAAAGATGTGGTCGAAAAAAGTGTACAAGCAAGAGAGATAACCGCACCCTGGAGAGGATTGTGAAACAAAACCCATTCAAAAATGTGGGGGAGATTCACAAAGAGTGGACTGCAGCTGGAGTGAGTGCTTCAAGAACCACCACACACAGACGTATGAAAGACATGGATTTCTGCTGTCGCATTCCTTGTGTCAAGCCACTCTTGAACCACAGACAGCGTCAGAAGCGTCTTGCCTGGGCTAAAGGGAAACAGGACTGGACTGCTGGTGAGTGGTCCAAAGTCATGTTCTCTGATGAAAGTAAATTTTGCATTTCCTTTGGAAATCAAGGTCCCAGAGTCTGGAGGAAAAGAAGAGAGGCACTTCATCCACGTTGCTTGAAGTCCAGTGTAAAGTTTCCACAGTCAGTGATGGTTTGGGGTGCCATGTCATCTGCTGGTGTTGGTCCATTGTGTTTTCTGAGGTCCAGGGTCAACGCAGCCACATACCAGGAAGTTTTAGAGCACTTCATGCTTCCTGCAGCTGACCAACTTTTTGGAGATGCAGATTTCATTTTCCAACAGGACTTGGCACCTGCACACAGTGCCAAAGCTACCAGTACCTGGTTGAAGGACCATGGTATCCCTGTTCTTAATTGGCCAGCAAACTTTCCTGACCTTAACCCCATAGAAAATCTATGGGGTATTGTGAAGAAGAAGATGCAATACACCAGACCCAACAATTCAGAAGAGCTAAAAGCCACTATTAGAGCAACCTGGGCTATCATAACACCTGAGCAGTGCCACAGACTGATCGACTCCATGCCACGACCGCATTGCTGCAGTAATACAGGCCAAAGGAGGCCCAACTAAATACTGAGTGCTGTACATGCTCATACTTTTCATGTTCATACTTTTCAGTTGGCCAACATTTCTATAAATCCTTTGTTTTTATTGGTCTTCAGTAATATTCTAATTTTCTGATATGATGAATTTGAGATTTTCATTTGTTGTCATTTGTAATCATCAAAATTAAACAAAATAAACATCTGAAATATATGAGTTTGTATGTAATGTATGAATATAATATACAAGTTTCACTTTTTAAATGGAATTACTGAAATCAATCTACTTTTTCATGATATTCTAATTTTATGACCAGCACCTGTACACCGTGCCTCATGTATGTTCCCTGGTTTTAGCCACGGAGAAAACTCTTGGCTGGAGCCAATTTTTGTTACATTTACACTTGCTCATATTTTCCAGACAAAAAGTAAATGGTGCATCTCCCAAATGTCCCGGCCACAACAACGCTTTTATTGGTTCCCCCATCAGGACAGAACCAATAATGGCGAGCCGTTATTTCTTTTTTAAATAATACAATTTTTTTTTTAATTTTAACGTTTTATTTAGATTACAAAAATAAATTGTAATAAAAATAATCCTATTTATGATGTTTTAAAAATTAAGACCTACGAAAGACTGATTTAAGACATTTTAATACCAATTAAGGCCTTAGTTTTATTTTGAAAAATTCAATGCCTTTTATGACTTTTTAGGACCCGCGGGAACCCTGGCAAGGAAAGGTGATTCCCATCGAGCTTTGATGAACTTATTTTTAAATTTCATGCAAGGGAGTGTGACGTAAAGCAACACTGTAAAAGGGAGTCACAAAAGAAACACGTCCGTCCTGCATTGTCCCTCTTAAGCATCATAGCAGTATTTTCCTACAGATCTGTTCACCATGAAAAGTATCAATATATAACTGATTAAATTACTTCTTCTCTGCTCAGGAAAATCAGTTGCTGTGGAGCGTGCTTTGCAGCCTCTGGTGGAACTTTCTGTTTTCCAACATATGTGCGTAAGCTGCTTCGCTGCTGTATCTCTTCCAGTCTATTTCCCCCTTTAGTTTTGAACCAAGTTTCTGGTGGAGCTCCGTTTAGATTTGGTGATTCTAAGCATCAGTTTCTGATTCTGTATTGTTCAATAAATTTAAACAGTTTCTAAAGAGGCCTTATTCCTTCCTGTTAAAGGTAATAATGGATTCCCTATTGCTATAAGCTATACTACAGCCTCTTTTAGTGAAAATGAATCCCGGCTCTAATGGATCTAAATGTAATCCAATAAAACCACGTCTGTTTTTGATGTAGTTCCGTCCTTTAATCAGTAAAAGTGGTTCCTACCTGTCCAGGACCACCAAGTCGGTGGCCGTTTCAGCATTGCTTTTCAGGATTCTCTCCAGATTCTGGATCTTCTGCTCCAAATCCGACGGGTCACATTTCCCGTTGAGGATGGAAGCGGTGAGGCCCAGTATACGCGGCCCACTAGTGCACTCTTCGAAAAACTAAACACAGATTAAAAGAACAACCCATGTCAGCTCAGATGCCCGGTATGTGTGCGGCTAAAGGTTTTGGAAGCAGCCTTACTTTCATGATGTCACGGTACGGGTGCTCTGTGATTGCCAGGTGGCAATCATCAAACACCACTAGGTTGATTTTAGACAGAGGTAAGAGCCGACTCTTCAGAACATGGAGGAAGATGTTGCACATCATCACCAGCACCTGAGGAACAACATAACTGATCAGAGGACAGATTGATGGCGACTCCGAGATCTGTGTCGTCAAAAGGAGTGAAAGCAGCTTTCCATCCTTTTTAGAAAAAAGTTCTCAGGGAACCTTAGAAAAGGAGGATTGGATGCTATTAAAAAGCCTGTCAAGAATTCAAGGATTTGACCAGTTTTAATGTTTTAAATATTACTGTTAAGATTCATGCTCTAAATTTTCCTTTATTTCTAGAGGAAGTGATGTGTAAATTAGGGGTGTAAATAATAACCGTTTTGTATCGATGCATCGATCCAACAGCCGACGATCCGATGCATCGATACGTTTGCAAGAGAATCGATTCATGTTTTTTTTCCTCCGGTCTATTTTTATCCATTTGCTCCCCGTGCTGAGGTGGCGCTAAACCTATTTTGCCCTCCTACCTCGCTTCCTGGTTATACTCTTACAGCAGTGTGTTGCAGTAAGCTTAAAATACATTTTTAAATTATGTTCAATATTTAAGCGTGGTCTGTGCTACACACTGTGGGTCTAGATACGGCCGAAGCGGTGAGGAAGTGGGGGCGAGTTTAGTCCGATGACGGAGGGACATGAGGGCCAAAAAGAGCGGTGATCCAGGTGGAAAAAGGGTCCCAGCGTTCTCGCGCACCTCGCTCTTCTATTGGGTCAAACTTCACGAGTTGTTTACCGTAATTTCGGTCATAAAAACAAAACAAGCCGGTCTCCTGTCCGCGGCACTTTGGGAGAGGTGCAGCAGAGCGTCTGTGGAGGGGGCGGGGACATCAGGCGTCGAGGTATTGCATTGCACTGATTTTGTGCAGCATTTTGTGATGCAAAGCCATTCAGAATCTATAATGCAGGGGTATTATTATTTTTCAATGAATGAGGTTTTAATAGGAATAGACGGAGTGCAACTTTTCTACTTCTATTATTTGCTGTTGTTTCTAAAAATGCATAACGATATTACATTGCATTGATGTATTTCAAATTTGAAACATTGTCTAGCATGTAAGGAGTAAAAAAAAAAAAAAAAAAAAAGTAGATAATCAAAATAAGTGGTCCTCCTAACTGTCAATCATTCTGTGGATATGTTTACAGTACATAAGGCCGTCTTACGTGCTCGTCCCCATTTTCACTTATGAGTGAGTCTTACATAGTGGAAAATTTCAAATCTTTTGGAAAGTAAGCCTGTATGAGCGATGCACACAGCAACTTGTAAACAGCTTGCACGAGGAGAAATGGGCTCGTGCAAGCTCTCTCACGCATTTAATAGCCATTCCCTCTCAGGAGCGGGTAAAGGGTTGAGCATGTGCATTTCTGTTTTATTTTTTTAGGTGGAGAGGGCGGGTCTTTTCAAAAATTTACCAAAATCCTCCACTATACCTTTAACTTTCCTCCAAGTTCAACCAAATAAAATAAACTCAGGCAGAATGATTGCTGTAGATAAATGTGTTTCCACAAACTTTAAGGATGTGTACATCTATGAAACAGGACTACCGTAAATCCTCTAATATAGGCCCGGGCCTTTATTTCACTCAAGTGCATCGCGGTCCAGGCCTTTATTGGAAAGAGGCCAGAATTAGAGACAGCCCTCTATTGCTATTTGAGCAAAACAGACTACCAGTGGAATGAATAAAAATGAGATTTTGTGTCTATTTGAACCTATAAAACACTAGGTTCATTTATTGAAAAAGTACAGTTAACATGTCTCGCTTGGTTTGAAGTAAAAAAGAAAAAAAAATCCTCCAATTCTGTTTAATCCTCCTCCTCAGTTTCCTCCTCCTCTTCATCTTTCCCTTTAATCTCCTCATCACTCGCGCTCCTCCTCCTGTTCTGCTGCGTATCTGTTCTCTTCCTCGTGCAGACGGGCAGCAGTCAGGGCCTGTCGTCCAGCAGCGCAGGGCTGTGGTACTTGTATGTTACTACAACAAGTATAATGTTGAGGTATGCCCAGAAAAAACGTTTATAGCCCCGGCCTGTATGAGAGACAGGCCATTATTTACCTCCTCTGACAGCGAGACCGGCCAATGTTAGAGTCCCGGCCGCTAATTGAATACAGGCCAATATTAGAGAATTTACGGTATTACTTTATGTTTCTTTCCTTTAGTGATTTTGTTACCTTGAAACTTTGAACATGGTAAATTGTTACTGAATATAAAAATGAAAAAAGATTCAAGATTTCTCTTTGAAGTCCCTTTTTACATCCCAAAACCCTGGCATTTATAACAGAGGATGATTAAGATCCAACATGTGCACCTGATTTGTGGATATTTCCTGACTCCATCTTTGATCCGACCAAGCTGACGCCTCCTTCCAGTCTGTGTACTCTCCCACCTGGAGGTCTGAGTGAGTCCTGACCGCTGCCGCTTGTTGAATTACAGATGACACTAAAAAATAAAAAAAATTGCCGTCAGCCAACCAGTCAGACCTTCTCTTTAGGATGAGTGGATCATGAACACCAGCTTACCTGAATTCACCAGGAAAACTGTCCTTTTGGCATTTTCCTGGTAGCTCCCTCGGATTTGGTGGGAGAGCTCTTTAGTTAGAAGTACTGCAATGAAGGTCTTCCCTGAGTCCGTGTTCAAGCAGACGATAGTGTTGCGTTCAAGAGCTGCTTCGAGAAGTTCAACCTTCAGAATCAGACATGAAGGTTAGCATTGCTGCAATGATTTCCTGGCCATATTTGAGCCAGTTAATGCAGGAAGGCAGTTAATGCGAGGAAAAAAAAAACAGAGGTCCTGCCTGATATTTCCTGGGCGTGTAGATGTTGTCATGGATGGCCTCCTGCTGCCACGGCAGACCGAAGAAGGGCCCCATGGGTGAAGTAGCAGGGGTGACGAGCTGCAGGCCTGCCATGCTTCACTAAGCTGAGCTGGAGGTGGAGGTGAAGGGGGTGCGCTCCTCCAGACGTCCACTTAACTCATTTCCTCTTTTTCTCTTTACTGAAGATTACTGATAGAAGAGTTAAAAAAAACACTGATGAATCAACGGCTAACAGAAAATCTACATCCTGATGAGTCCAGGACGCGAGCCAGAGGTCGAGCAGCTCCATCATGAAAAATACTCACAGGTATCAGCTGAGTTTGTCGATGAGAAGAGAACGTTTAATGTGGACTTCATGATAACATTTCTGTTCATCGACTCCCGCTGCTTTTCTTCATTTAGGTAGAAACCGACCTAACAGAAGCAGAGAGCACAGCTGTGGTAACACACTCCACACACACACACTCAGATTCAGCATATGGAAGAAAGACGCTTTTTATTTAAATTAAAAAAAACAGCTCAGTTTTGTGCTTGACTTTTCAATCTTCACATTTTAGAAAGCCAAAACCTACTGATAAAAGATTGTAGCCAACTCCAAAATATCTCATTTAAACCTAGAAGATATAATATAGGCGTTCAAAGTATCTTCACCAGTCGCGCTTCTTCAGTGATCATACGTTTTCTCAATCTACTTGAGGTTTTATCAATTTAAATGGCCCTCAAAAGAAAGAAAAAATGTAGTACAAGATTAAGCTCAACTGGAATTAAAAATGATTTAGTGACAAAACAGGAAGTTAAAGAAGTCTTTTTTGATTAAGTCTGTCAGCCGAAAACTAAAATACTGAATAGTTATATTTTAAATATAGATCAATAAATGAAAATCACTAGACTTATTGGCATAGAAGTCATATACTTAACAAAATGAAAGAATATATATATATATATTTTTTTTTATCCACGTTCAACCTTATTTTCCATGTATATTTATCTAGAGCTATAAAATCTTTTTCAGGGCAGTAGAGGAACCCTGCAGCCTGAGCTACAGCGCCCATATTAGGGGTGTAAATAATAATCGTTTTGTACCGATGCATCGATCCAACAGCTGACGATCCAATGCATCGACACGTCTGCAAGAGTATCAGTTCATGCTTTTTTTCTTCCTCTTGTCTATTTTTATCCATTTGCTCCTAGACATAATTCAGACTCCCGTGCTGCAGTGGCGCTAAACCTATTTTGCCCTCCTAGCTCGCTTCCTTTAGCCACTACCCTCTTTCCGCATGCACACACACAGTCGCGTAAACTGTAGGCAAGACAGACATGGTGGAGATAGCGGAGGTGAAAGAAGAGGTAGGCAAGACAGACGTGGAGGATGAAAAAGATGATGATGTATTTTTGAGTATCGAAAATAATCTAATTGTTTGGTCAGGAAATCGATACTGAATCGAATCGCCATGATGGGTGTTATTTACACCCCTAGCCCATATTGAGGAGTGTTATTGTCATCCTAGTTAAGCTAAGCAGAGGCGGGTTCACTGATCGGGAAAAGAATTTTATATTTTAAGAAAAAGTAGCAACTCAGGGAAGACGGAGTAGAAAAATCATCGGATTTTTCTGTGCATTTCCAAACCAAACAGCTCACCTGTCAGCATGAGTCATACGGTAGCAGTCCAACTGAATCCTGTAGCTCTGCACAAACTGCAAAAAACAGAGAAGTAAACGTAGGAAGCACACTTTATTTCCCTCTTGAAAACCTATTATAACCTTTTATAGACAAATCGCAACAAAAACACTAACAGTTAGGAACATAAGAGCACAGCTGTTAGACCGACCTGCTCTCAGGGGTTCTGGAAGCTTGTGCAGAACGAGACTATTTCTGTTCTGTCGGTTAATTATTTACAGGCTGTTTTATGTAATGATGAGGATCAGCAGCCAGATTTCAGCATTGCTGCACCCTGTGACACAATGACTGTTTTTCTGAATCTGACTTTTATTTATCTAAGTGCATCAGACAAACTCTCCTAGAGCGACCCTGAAGATCAGCATGGTTCGGGTGTGTAGCTGAGTATTCTGACTGAATCTTGTTCGAACAAATGTTGAACCCTGAATGCAACAACACCCATTTCAACCGTAATAAGTCCAAAAATTTCACAAATAAATTTGAAAACCCATAAGCACATCAGTTCTGTTGCTTCAGACTGAAAAAATCTTGGAAGAAAAAAACAAAACTAGGCCGTGACTGAACCCCTAGCAGCACCTGCATTAAAAAATAAAAAATAAAAAACTTTTTTTATATGTTTACACAAGATTTTGTATAATCTTATCTAGAATGCATCTACATTTTAAGTGCAAACCTGACAAATAAAGCGGAATTTGATTAATGAAACACAGAGGAAGACAATGACTCAAACAGAAACAATCGGAGTTAAAAAAAAAAAAAAAAAAAGGAGCTTCTGGAACAGGAATCCCCAAAGTCAGTCCTTGAGGGCCACTGTCCTGCAGATTGTAGAGTTTTCCCTGCTTCAGCACAGATGATTTACACTGATAGTTGATTAACACGCTTTTGCTGAACTGCAATCATTAGAATCAGCTATGCTAAAGCAGAGAAACCTCTAAAACCTGTAAGACAACAGCCCTTCCAGGGACTGACTTTGGGAATGCCTGATCTAGATGGAACCTAGAAACCTACAGAAATCAATAAAAGCTTCATCTGCAGGTAAAGAAGCTCAAACGTTGGATTTATCATTATATCTCTGTTTCAACCATTATTGCAATAAAATAATATATAATAACGATGCAGCAAACAAGCACCTGCTAATTATCAATATCCGGTTTTCTTTTAGTCCTGATCAGCAAAATCTGATCTTATTTGGTACCAATTTTATTCTAAAATATAAAGATGTATGGAGAGGTTGTTTTTTTTTTTTTTTGGTAAACACCACTTAACAGCTGGACTAAAAAAATATAATGAACTACAACAAAATCTCCATTGTTACATGAGATCTATGCCCTTTTCCCAAATCCATAAAAAACATCTTAAAGCATATTTTTTTTTTTTTGATGAATGCAGCAGAAATAGTGTGAGGCAAGGAAAACAAAGCTTTTTGCTGGCATCAGTACATCTTCATCAACAGGAGGACTGTTATGGCTGAAGAATAGAACCATGCGCCTCTATATGAGGAATTACAGCAGCTTTATGGCTGAAACAAACTTTGCATTCATTGCAGGAAACTGGATCAGTGTGGAAAAAATGTAGCTGATCTAAGAGTTGCAGCTGAATCTAAGTAAACTTCCAGGCCATGTTTGGAAAGCACTGATTATTGATCACTGACAGATCTGATGGGATTAATGGTTGAGTCCATTTTCACCTGCTGAGCCCTTGTGTTTACCTGCTGACATCACCTATTAGACACCTATATAGCTGCTGACGTCCCCTATTAGACACCAAATGATGTTCAGGCACAAATAAACAGCTTTATATCTTGGGCTAAAATCACAGAGTTTGGATTGGAAGCCAAGGTTAAGGGCCGAACCTAAAGTAGCCCCATGAGCCCCTGATCCGAACCAATCTAGGCGTCCTTGGCAAAACCTGGAACAGAACCAGGAACCGTCAATCGATTTGGTACCTTCTACAGAGGCTTTTAGCCGAATCAGAACCGGAACTCTGGTCAGCCGAACCCAGTATCAAACTGTTAGCATTGCTAACGTGATTAAATCTCTTAACCCGGTTCTGGTCTGATCCGGTTCGTGTAGGTGTTTTTGTTTCACCGAACTGACAGGATTGGACCAGAAACCTGGCCCCGAATCCCGCAGCATGGGGACGACCCCGCACCGCCACGCTCTTCCATCATCATCATCTTCATCATCCTCATGTCAGCGGGCTAACAGCTAGCAGGGCCGCTATGAAGTACGGGATATTCCAAAAACAACGAACAGACATTCAGAAACTCACCCGTGGAGTTAATTCCTTCTGATTGTCCCGAATAAAAATATCTAAAGCGCCTCCGTGGATATCTCCGCTTCCACCAAGGCTCGTTGTCCCGGTTTGTGGCTAATCGTCCACGGGGGACCACTTCCGTTACCTGGGCCTCAGCTACGCTAAATAATCTACGCTGTCTGCGCAAGCCTAGCTCATTAGCTTCAGGGTCAATGTGCGTAAGTGACGGAGAATAGAGTTCCTGCGTACGAAACCAACCCGCCTCAGACGGAAACTCTACGCCTTCCAGAGGCGTAGAGAGATTATTAAGGGCCTGTTCGAGGCCTTTTGACCAGGCTCCCCAATCAGAATAGTAATAATGGCCCAAAAAAAGTTGATATATATATATATATATATATATATATATATATATATATATATATATATATATATATATATATATATATATATATATATATATATATATATATGTATGTATATATATATATATATATATATATATATATGTATATATATATATATATATATATATATATATATATATATATATATATATACATACATATATATATATATACATACATATATATATATATACATACATATATATATATATATATATATATGTATGTATATATATATATATGTATGTATATATATATATATATATATATATATATATATATATATATATGTATGTATATATATATTTATTTATATATATGTATGTATATATATATATATATATATATGTATATATATATATAGAAATCTTGAATCTTTTTTCATTTTTATATTCAGTAACAATTTACCATGTTCAAAGTTTCAAGGTAACAAAATCACTAAAGGAAAGAAACATAAAGTAATACCGTAAATTCTCTAATATTGGCCTGTATTCCAATAGCGGCCGTGACTCTAACATTGGCCGGTCTCGATTTGTCAGAGGAGGTAAATAATGGCCGGTCTCTAATACAGGCTGGGGCTATAAACGTTTTTTCTGGGCATACCTCAACATTATACTTGTTGTAGTAACATACAAGTACCACAGCCCTGCGCTGCTGGACGACAGGCCCTGACTGCTGCCCGTCTGCACGAGGAAGAGAACAGACACACAGCAGAACAGGAGGAGGAGCGCGAGTGATGAGGAGATTAAAGGGAGAGATGAAGAGTAGGAGAAAAACTGAGGAGGAGAATTAAACAGAATTGGAGGATTTTTTTTTTTTTTTTTTTACTTCAAACCAAGCGAGACATGGTAACTGTACTTTTTCAATAAATATACCTAGTGTTTTATAGGTTCAAATAGACACAAAATCTCATTTTTATTCATTCCACTGGTAGTCTGTTTTGCTCAAATAGCAATAGAGGGCTGTCTCTAATTCTGGCCTCTATCCAATAAAGGCCTGGACCGCGATGCACTTGAGTGAAATAAAGGCCCGGGCCTATATTAGAGAATTTACGGTATATATATATATATATATATATATATATATATATATATATATATATATATATATATATATATATATATATATATATATATATATATATATATGTGTGTGTGTATATATATATATATATATATATGTGTGTGTATATAAATATATATATATATGTGTGTGTATATATATATATATATATATATGTGTGTGTATATATATATATATATATATGTGTGTGTATATATATATATATATATATATATATATATATATATATATATATATATATATATATATATATATATATATATATATATACATGCATGTGTGTTAAGTAAAAAAAAAATAATAAAAAAATATTTTAAACTTTTTTTGGGCCATTATTACTATTCTGATTGGAGAGCCTGGTCCAAAGGCCTCGAACAGGCCCTTAATAATCTCTCTACGCCTCTGGAAGGCGTTTTATTTTATTTTTTTTTTATTTTCTAATTCATTTATTTATTTTTCATAAATTTTTTTCCCCACCAGAAATGTGCATGATAGAGTTAAAAAAAGAAAGATAAGTAGATTGCTGGGTGGCTCTACATCCACACTTTTTGGATAGTAGGCTTAGAAATAATATCTGTCGTGTCCCTGCAATGTGCTTACAGAGTATTAAAGTAGACTAAAGAACATATCAGTCTAAAACACAATTATCTCAATTTTTTGTGTAATAAATGCACAACTATGAACTCTACTCTTAATCTTTATGTTATTTAAATGATTTAAGTTGAGCTGGTAAGTTATTGATTCAAACCTCCTTTTTAGAGGCATAGGCTTAATGGCGTAAATATCGGTAAGCATATGTAATGGCCACTCATGTAATGGTGCAGAAAATTCCTCTTAAACCCACCTGAGGCTGAAGTGACTGAACGGACCATATTTATACCACAACACATGCCAGATTTCAATATGATTGTGAGGCTTTTAAACACGACATCAATAGCAAAGCAGACAGCAGTACTTTTAATTACTATGTTAATAACTCTGTATACTTCATTAGAAGGTGGGTAAAAAACACACTCATATAATATGTTTCAAACCACAATAAAGATCTTAAAAGAACAGTGTATGACTTGGAATTATGGGTAATGGGTTATGATGACCTGACTGAACATATTACATACGTAACGTGGGTGCAACATGCAAGATGTTATATCACATTAGACCAAAACCAGAAGGTAGATTAAACCATAACCGTTACGTACAATGTGTTAGCGACCATGGATACCAAAAAAAATAAAAAGTTAAAAAACTTAAGTGGATTCTAGAAAAGAAAAAGGAAAGAAGAGCTGCTGAAAGAACGGCAAAAAACTTCAAAAAATAAAAACGATTTGAGGTTTGGCTCATTTAGACTGCCGTCACCTAATTGTCTTCATAGGTGTGTAGTGGTATACCAAATGTGTATTCATGGACATGCATAGTACATCCATGTTTTCGTGGATGTGGTGGTGCATTTTCACCAATAGTTCCATGGTGCACAGTCACTATTTTTCTATGTGTGATGTTAAACTACTGAGAATTGCGTAATTGTATCTTCTTGGCTTATTAATAGAACTGTTTCCCTATCCTGAACCTTTATCACGTGTTGTACTTCATATGGGGCCCACCCAGATAAGATGCTTATGGGCCTATTGTTGTGTTGTTTCGTCGTTGCATGGGCTACAATAGCTATGTCAAAGATGGAAAATTCTGCTTGGATTTTCCATTTTTTCAGCTTTTTACTGTAGAATTTCAGCTGGCACTCCATGTTCTTCAATGTTTTAAATGTACAACAAGCTGTTTTAGGTTTTCATGAATATTTTAGTTTCCACATCAAATTCTAGCCTTTAACAAAGCTGTATAAACACTGTCTGTCATACTTAATCATATCATTGCCTTCGTGGTTCTGTGACTGAACTGGATTTAACAATTAAAGGTTGACTTGAACTCTTCTCTAGCTTCTTTAGACATATTAAATGGATGATCTTAATCAGAATTGCCATTGACCTCTCTTATTTTATACCTTGTAGTTTTGTTTAGCTGCCAGAAGATGGCACTATCGAGCTTATAAAAGATTGTTTTACTTGTTACTAACAAAATCTTCACTTGGTGAAGATAAAAAAATAACACCAATAACCTGCCACGACCCTTTTCAAGTGTGAAATTTTAAATAGTTGACCAAAAAACAAGCATGCTAAGTGTGAGGGATTACCTTCGAGTCAATAAGTCAATTCTTTCCTCAGATAAAAAAAAAATGAATCAATTGTATGATCTGGATGAATTGTAAAGTGCTTTAAAATTACATGTTTTATGAATTGGTGCTATAGAAATAAACTGAATTGAATTCTTTATCTCATAGTTTCAGCAATCTGGATCTCGACTTGATAGGTTTTGTGGAAAATGTCTTAACTTATAAGGATGAGTCAAAAATATGTAATCTTGTATTTTGCAAAGCATTATACGAAACTTTCAAATACAGAATTGTTGAGAAGAATTGTTGAACTTTAAAGAGTAAACTAAGTTTGTTAGCAGGGATAGCTTTGGCTTTGAAAGTAATTGGTCACACAGATACAGCTACTGTCACTTTCTCGCTGCAGACCAGGAAGGATAATATTCGCCCTCTGAGTCTAGAAGCCTTGTGAATTTAAACAAGGTCTCCATTCTGAGGGAAGATCTGGGTTGGTCAAGGTGTAAATTGCAACAGACTAATAAGTTTAAACTGTGTATCCTTAAAAGGATAAGATAACTTAGAATGCTTCCTTTTGAAAGGGTAACTCCTGTTAAATCACGGCTTCTCTTTGTCAATGAATCCTGGGATGACATAACAGAGAATCTCCTGTCCTTAAAACTTTACAGATTTTCAATAGGTTTTTAAACTGCATATTTAGGATATATATGTTCTGTTCCATGACATCCCGAAAGTTCTCTGGTAGATTGAAATCCAGAGACTGTGGAGGTCATAAGAATACAGGGAACTTATTATAAACCTGATCATATTTAGTCCATTTTCAGCTTTGCTTCATTTGCTTACTGTTACATTTAGGATAGAATTCAAATGTCTTTTTCTCATATGTAAAACCCCACATAACTAAGGTCCATCTAATACCAGAGATCTTATTGTTCCTTATGTTCCTAACAGCACTTTGCTCTTAATCTGCAGGTTTAGTACTGGCTCCTAGAATTTCTAAAAGTAGATTGGAAAACAGATAATTTAGTCATTAGGCCTCTCTTCTGAGCAACCACCAGTTTTAGTCCATGAAGAGGATACCCAGTTTATTTTCAGGAATGGGCTTATTTTTTCTATTTTTTAAAAGCTTATAGCTAGAGTAGCTCAGGTTACCTGATCTACCTCTATAGTTATGCTGCTATAGGCTTAGGGTGCTGGAGGACATAGAGACTACTGTTTTGGCATTGCAGCCTCATCTGATCTGGCACTCTGTTTAGCTGTGAGGGAGGAATCAGCTTGATTGCTGCTGACTGTTTTTCAGTGTTTAGTCCTGTTTCTTCGCTAGACATAGATGTGGGCTCATCTTTTGCTGTAACTTGTATGAGCTCTCTTTCATCCTTTTTAACATTAAAATTGGCTAAGAGCTTATCTTCTTAACTGTTCTTTTCCCAGAAAGAGTCACCTGTGGAGCTTGTTTACAGTCCTATATTTCTATATTTTAGAACATAGTAAGCATTTATGAATCAGTGCCTCTATGTTCCTTTCATATTTCGCCCTCTGTCTTCCCAAACTCCAGTCAGACTCTGGTTCTGCTGGAAGTTTCTTACTGCTAAAAGGGAGTTTTTGCCTCTCCACTGTCACCCCATGCATGTTGGGTGTGAGGGATTGCTGCAGAGTCCTCACAATGCAAGTGAATCTCTTCTGTGCCCAGATGGTCTTCCAAGAGGGGCAGTCTGGCTGTGTGTTCTGATTGAATTGTCTCTGTAAGCTGTGTTTTGTAAAATAGAGCTTTAAACTACAAATACAGTGATTGAATTAAAATGATTATGTTTATGATACCAGTTCGAAAAATGTGGACTGTATGACATTATGAATTTTCCTGCTGGAAGTAGCCATCCGAGGATTTTTACACAGGCATCATAAAGAAGTCTGCATTTTCATTGAAATAAATCAGGTAGCATGTAGAGCAGAATATGAAACCAAGACTGAAGCAGGTAGAACTTTTATATTTTCCCTTACTTAACGAGGGAGGAGCTGGCTGTGTGTGAAAATTCCAGTAGCTCCATAGTTTTTCAGCTATATAGACCAGCTCTTCCTGCACTGACAACCAAGCCACCTTTAGTCAATTGCATCCCTTTTCTTACCCATTCTGATGCTCAATTTGAACCTCTGCAAGTTGTTCCCCCCCATGTCTAGATACCTAAATGCTTTATGACTTTTCTTGCCATGTGATTGGCAGATTAGATGATTGTGTTAATCAGCAACTGAATGTGTGTAGGACGTAAAAGAGCAAGGGAATATATTTTGTGATTCAAGATTACAGAATCAGGTGCTCCACTGGTCTATCTACTAATCTCCAGACATGCAGGTAAAACTTAGACAAACCAGTTTCAGACAATGTGTGCAGCAGAAATATGCATGGCAGTTGACCAAAATAAAAGGACAACTCTCTTGATTTCAATATCAGGGGCACTTTAATGCATTAGTAACAACCTAATAAGGTAAATAATATACATAAAATATATTCAGTGGTCGATTTCTACAGGATTTAAATGCAAATTAATCAGGATATTAAGTGTAAAGTTTTGTTTTGAGACTTTTTACAAAATCCTTACATACATTTATTTTGTAATAACAGTGCAACAAACAGCCAGAACATTAAAACCAGTTTCTTTCTGTTCGGTAGCTCCAACAGCATGGATGCAGGTCGTCTGTGGGATGTTTATGTTGCGGGTCCTGAGGGCTGTTAGGGCTGGGTCTCAGGGAACTGTCTCTGATCAGATCAGCGCTCATTGCGCTTTCTGAGCTGGGTTTAGGGGATCTGGAGTAGATATGACCTGAAGTTTCCTTGAAATGGAAGTGTATAATTTCTCATTCAAGTGGTTCTAATGTTGAGGCTGATGACAAACGTATGTCAGTATTAAGTGTACAATTAGCACAAAGTTGTGTAAATAATTATTCCAAAGCAGGCACACAGTAGTGATGGTGAACTGTGTCGAGCAGCTTCTTTGCTGCCTACAAGTCGACAGAGGAGCTGATGTGTGAAACTCAGTTCAGGTGATGGTGAGCGAAACAATATTCAGTGAGGATAAGTTGGTAGGGAAATTCTTACAACAAAATAATAATAATAAAAAAAAAAACATTTTCCAAATATCCATCCATCATGATTCATATTCACCCAGTCTTGTAAAATCCGGATCTGAGCTGCTCTAAAAAAATTTTAACCATATAATTAAACCTGCTGAAAACAGTACCTGATGAACATGATCTTTGGTGGTTTGTCTCTTCGGTGCAGAACATTCAGAGGCCCCATCACACTTTACAAACATTCAAAAATCTAGAGCTTTACATTTTGCATCAGTCTTTTATAACACTTCATTTTAAATGTGTCGTAATTGTGCTGAGTCACAGTAGAGGAGCAGAAAATGTAAGATGTTCCCAGTTTATTTGGATCCCATTTGATTCATGCAGCACAAAGACATAACAAACTAGAGAGCAAAAAAAGTTCTCTGTTTTTCATTAATTCTAATCTTTAAAATCCACAAAAAAGATGCAGTAGACACAGCAGCTATTCAGCTGATGTGTCCCCTAAAGGTATGTAATTCTGTCTCTGTAAATACAGATGGTTTTCAGGTTAACTACAAGAATAGAAGAAGTGTTCTTAAGACAGACGGGTCCAAATTTAAACTTTTTGGATAGGGTGTAAAATGCCAGCAAAGTCAAAGTTGATGGGAAAAAGGATAAAGCGAAATATGCAACATTCCTGGAAGAAAACCAATAAAAAAAAAAGCTGAGACTGTTGTTCATCTTCCAGAGGGGCATGAACCATAAACATATTGCCAGAGCTGTAGAGAAATGCTTTAGATCTTAGCGTATTCAGGTGTTGAAATGGCCTAGTCAGAGCTCTGACTTATATCATGCTGAGAATGAGAAGCAAAGACTCAATAACTTAAGTTTGCAGAGCCTCTCTATCCATTCTGATTGTGTAGCATGAGCTATGTCGCCATAAAAAAGGACACACACTAGCCTAATGCAGCAAAAGGTGGTTCTGCAACACATGAACCCATATTAGCTCTAACTTTCAGATTTACATCTGTAAAAACCTTTGAAAACCATGTATATTACCTCTTACACATATTTTCTTTGCTTTCAAAATCCTGTATTGCTCACAGACTTTGAGCTTGTGGTTGCAATATGGAAAAAAAAGTGGAAATCTTAAGAGGTTGTGAATATATGCCTTTGGTCCATTAAAATGCTTCCTCTGAAAAACTGGGACGGATTACAGGGTTGAATGAAGGTGAGACCTTCACCTTCTCCAACTGTGACCCATTATTATACATTCAGAAGACTGTGTTGCATATTCTTGTGAGTCGAAACTTTCTTTCCACTGATGCATCTTTAGTATCAATATTTTAAACACAGATAAGAAAGCTGTCAGTGTTAGCTTCAGACACACACCTGCTTCAATTCAGTCTGAAAGCTTAACTTTTTTCTTTGTTGAGGCTTTGAAACTAGCTCTTAAAACTCCAAACTGGATTACAGTAAAAAAAAAAAAATTTAAACAGAGGAAAAATTAAGACTTCATAAGCAGCAAAAAAACAAAACTCTCTAAAGTTCAAAGGGTTCTAGTTCTGCATATCTCCATGCAGATATGAATCATAAGAGCTTTAAAGAGGCTGATCGGTGAGCTGAGAGACAAAATATCAGTGTGTCTGAGAGGAACATTACAGAGAACCTTGGAGGAAGAAATCATGCTTCCAGCTGGCATAAAAGAGGAAACAATACAAACTGCAGAAGGAACATTTCAAAATAAAATACTTTACAACAAGCATCATTATAAGACCAGTTAGAACAGCCGTGATGGTTCAGTAATGAAGTGAGAATAAAGCAGCAGTATCTGAAGTGTGATCTTAAAGAAACAATAAAAAAAAAAAAAAAAAACATACAGGAACTAAGATTAAAATGAACCAGAAACTTACTTTGAAAATTGATAACTGAACCATTGTTTATGTTTATGTGCCTGCAAAAAGGCAGGGATTTATTAAAGACGGTCAAAAAATAACAATTTAAGTTAAATTTTCAGAAATTAAAATTTTATCGATAAACTGTTTTTCCAATAAAAATGCCCCTGATGGTGCCTTTACCCACCTGTTTTAACAGAATCTGTTCATGATTTCTGTAAAATTACAACACATTTTATTCTCTGGGATATCCCTACATCTGTGTGAGTCTTTCTTGTGACTGATTTGTGTAATTCTAATTTAAAACAGCAGCTTTTTTTTTTTATAGTTTATTCTTAGAACTTTAAGAATCTGCAAATTTACATTTGTTGACATTGCTTACATCAAAGATTACTTTTTTACAAAAGTAAATAAAAAAATGAATTCTGTCAGACAAGAAGAATAAAGCCTTCATATAAGCTGGAGTGAGTGACGAAGAGGAGGATGGCAGCTCAGCTCCGGTTCCTTCAATGCTTTTATTGTGTGTTTTAGTTGGGCTGTGCGTGCGTGCGCGTTTATCGGTTGAGCAGCAAGCTCGGCAGCGTCTTCAGGTCCATCTGAGGAAGAACCATGAAGGAGTAGAGCAGCAGCCACAGCAGCAGCAGCAAACATAGCTCCCAGTTCTCCTTCCACCTGCAAACAAACAAAGGATCAGGATCAGAGGGCTCAGAGTTTAGAGGGAAGGAGCCAGAAGAGGTTAGAAAATCAAGCAGCAGTTGTTAAAAATATCTAACTGTGGAGATAATATGATTTATATTTAGATCTCTCCATAAAACTGGATTAAACCAAAAGGCTTTCAGAGGTAGAGGAAGGTTTGGGAGTCTTATGCCCCTTTCTGCCTGTAACACCAATTTATAGTCGTTACTTAAAAGAATATAGTAGAGAAAAAATTTGGCCACAGAATGGCAAAGCCCCTAAAGAGCTAATATGTTATCACTTATTAAAAGCACTTTTAAATCTTAAGAGAAATTTCTTTAGCAGTCGTATTCCTTAGCAGTATTCTAAACACCAGTCTCTTAATCTCCTCGACTAATAGAAAGCTCTTTTTTTCTATCTGCGGAAAACAGATTTATGGTAAATTTATTTACCATACTGGCTTATCTTTGCAGGGTCGTTCAGGGAATGGAGCTTATTTCCATGGACTAGAAGCTGGTTACTCCCAGGACAGTTTCCCATTCTATCTCTGGGCATCAGTAAAACATGTTGATGTAGAATTTTATGAGGACAAAACTGATATGAAGACATATTTTCTTCCATCCTCACCCTATCACCGTTTCACTCTATGAATTTTAGCATCCAAGTCAATAAAAGGTAATTACACTGACCAATACAGCGGTATGCAGACTATGAATAAATCGCATCTGAAATCCAATACAGTTTAATACTGCATGTAGGAACTTTTAGGACTGTGACATTGCACACATTAGAACCGAATAAACAGCTCTAAAGGAAACACATTTTCAGCATTTTATAAAGCGACTGCACCAAAAAATAGATTCTCGCTATTCAGGGATTATTCCCAATTCTTGTTCGGAGTGATCACTCTTCAAATAACATTTTAAATCAGCGGTCCCCAACCACGCTCTTTTATAAGTGTGCTTAGTCGCTCTTTAATGTCACAATTAAAAGACATATGCCCACCTGGCCCTTAAGAACAGTAACTATAATATCATTATATTTATATTTTATTATATCCATTTTGTCCTGCGATGGACTGGCGAACTGTCCAGGTTGAACCCCGCCTCTCGCCCATAGACACCTGGAGATAGGCACCAGCACTCCTCGCGACCCCATTTGGGAAAAGCGTGTTAGAAAATGGATGGATGGATTATATCCATTTAGGCTGTCCTGTATTTCCCATTCTTTTTTTTTTTTTTGCCCTATGAGTTATGCAATGTAGATATTTGCTATCCTGACAAAGAAAAACTATCTAAAATAATAAAGAAGTAAACATGTCTGTATTTTAAGGTTTAAAAATCTTTTTTTGGGATAAAAAACAGGTAATTCCTTACAATTTCAAACTGACTTTGACCATAGATCGTGATCTTTAATTTTAATATTTTCAAAAAATCACCAAAGCCAAACCGGTCACAGACAGCTCTTCACAGAAACTTAGCTGTAAGTGTTTAAAATAAACCAAGAGGGCTCTGGGTTCTGTTCCAATACAGAAATGGAACTGAATCAACGGGTAATTATGGAACAGTAAGGATCAGTATGGCCTATAAACACTAGAGGTACATTTTATTATCATGATGTATGTTTGTCCACCTGATGGATACTTTAACCTGCTCAATGCTACTATGCAAGGAGTTCAAACCCATCATGTGGCTGTAGATGAAACGTGGTGAAAATTAAAGCACAAAGATTTTCTCACCACAAATCAGAGTCTTCAGGTTCAGCCGTTCTGGGTGCAGCTCTAGGTTTGTCCTGTCAAACAATTATTACTGTTATTTATGATCCATGTGGTATGTGTGCAGCAAAAAGCCCAGAGAGGAGCAGCCAGAGGATAGGACTCACTGTGGACTCGGAAAGGCGAGCTCCTTTTCTATGTCGGAGTACTGGAGCGATGTGGGTCTCATTTGGTCTGATGGAGTCGATCCTAGAAGACAAAATCCATCGGTTCAGGTCTCAGAGAGAGACAAGAGCGTCAGATATTGCTGGAACCTTTAATGAAAAGACTGTTTTATTGACTTCTCTGCCTGTCCTGTTTATTTCCCTGCAGATTTACAGCAGTTTGGTGGTTCTCAGAAGATTTAGTTCAGTTTCATTCAATTTTAATTGGATTTGTGATACAGGGGACGTTTAGTCCACTGTTATTTCTGTCTGTGGGTGAATGATCACATGCAGCCTGGGAGTTTTATCTAACTTCTCTATAACAAGAAAAAAACAACAACAACAAACTCCTCAGTTCCTATAACATCCTCTCTCTCTTTTTAAAAAGATATAGATTTAAAAGGATGCAGATATAGATATTAGACACAATTGTTTTTCCATAACATTATTCAGATTTTAAAATCCCACCCAAAAAATACCAAACCTTCCATGTAGAAGTCCTTCAACACCCTGCAAGACATCCATTTATTTTCCTGCATCCTGAATGTATTCAGAATGAACCCCTTTCAGAGCAACAATGACAGACCCTAAAAGGCTGCAGCTAAAACCCGTCAAAGCTCTAACAGAATCAGAAAAAGAGGGCTGATGTCTGACAGCCTGAGGGATTATAAACGTACATCCAACTGAAGAACAGAAACCCAGTTAATCTGTGATGTAAGAATTAATTGAAGCACATTAACTATAATCCTGGTCTGCTGTCTTTGAGCTGTGATGATTCGTTCCTGCAGCCCTCTGAGATATCTGCTCTCAGTACATTTATGGGAACTTGTGAGCAGACAGAGAGGATTTGGGTCAAAATGGTCCAACTGCTCTCCCTCGGGTCTGGTCTGGTTCTCACAGTACCAGAATAGAAGCCCTACCTCAGAGGGCCTTCGTTGCTGCCTGCTTCGGAAACATCAGCGGCCTGCACAGCTCCGATCGTCACTCCGCACATCACACACTGCTCCTGGGATGGAGACGAGTCGGAAGGCGTCTTACGGGAAAAAGAAGAATCATTCAGCCAAATAATAACTAATAAGATGGAGCAGAGAGAATGAGAAAAAGCTCAACAAAAACCTTGAATTTAAAGCTTCCTAATAATCTGTTAAAACGGAAATAAAGTTGATTTTATTGTATTTTCTTTCAGCTTTAAACATGTTTACCAGGTTCAGAGAGCTAATTGCAACCAAAGTAACTCACAGCTTGTTGTATAACACAGGCACACCCACGCAGTGTGATTTGCATACATTTGAATGTGGCTCAGCAGCTAAACAAACCAGAGAAGCTGATCCCGATAACTTAAATAATTTGTAGAATAATAGAACATGTGATTTCTTTGAATGTTACGGATATCCAAAACCTTTCTTCAATATAAATATTGATCAAATCAGAGAACGGCTCAGAAACTCACATGTTCATGTTCTCCTCCTCTCAGGAAGTCATTACCCAGCAGGTCCTCTGATCTGTCTGAAGGTGGCGCCGGTTCCAGTGCGGAGACGCTCAGAACTGATGGCCACCTCTGCATCTCAGTGTCAGGCGGTTCTGGAAGAATGGACTCCTCTTTGTCAGGGTAGAACAGGTCCATGGGTTCTATTCGGTCGCCGACCAGGTCCTCTGTTGGAGAGCTTCTGTGATAGTCAGACGAAAACTGGTCCAAGTTTCTGGATAATTCTGTTGGTTCAGAAAACGGCGTTGCTATTTGACCATTCAGCTGCTGAGAACCTGGATCCAGAATGTTCTGAAAGCCATTAAATGAGTCCATATGGTTCCCTGGATGGTCCCAGTGTCCATCAGAGTCATTCCAGCCGTATCCATCAGGCTGGTGGTCGGAGTTGGTAGAAGGATGCTGAGCCGAAACATTCTGTTTATCCAGGAAATCATCACTGTTACCTTTTGAGTTTGTCCCAAAGCTGCCATCCTGGTCAATCGGATCCCTTGCAGAGTCACTTTCTGGGTCTCTCGTTGGTTTAGTATGTTTTGGTATTAAACTGGATGGATTCTCTGGAGGTTCTTGTACATCATCGTTACTCCCAACACTGTTCTCAAGACCTTGAGAACTCCAGACTTCTGAATTTCCCCACTGATCCTCATGCTTGTCCTGATCCAAAATTCCTGGGTAAAGTTCTGTCTCTTCGTCTGGCTCATCTGGCTCACTGGTGATGGAGATTAGAGGAATGTTCAGACTTGGTTTGAATGCTGTGCCCCCATTGGCTGCATGCTTATCTAAAGTTTCTGTGCTGCTGCTTTCTTCACACTGTGTGGAGTCTCTTAAAATCTCTAGGCTTCCATCTATGTTACCATTTCCTTCTTTTAAACTATCTGACTTCAGTCTTACATCTTCTACTTCATCTTCTGGAGCTGCATCAGTTCTCTGACCTCCATTGTCCTCCTCAGACGTCTGCTCTAGACATTCTGATTGACCGTTATACTTTCCATTCTGGTGACTTTCTCCTCCATCCTGTTCTCTCAGATGGATTTCTTCAGCACGGTTTTCGTCATCAGGAGGTTCAGTGGAGAAGATGGGCTCAAACCTGTTTAACTGATCAGATTTCTTAAGCAGATCTCCAGAAGCAGAGCTGTCCAGACTTTCTCCTTCATAGAGTTTAATCAATGGCTTTTGTTCTCTGGAAATGTCCTCCTTTTGAAGTTGAGTTTCATCTATATGTTTGGTTTCTCTAAGATCAGCTGTTTGGCCTGAGTCTGGGTTCTGGTATAGAGTCTCAGCGTTCTCCTTTTCTTCCTTCCATTCTTCCTCTTGGTTTTTCTCAGTCTGCATATCAAATCTGTCCAGAGAGCTCCTCCTTTCATCAATGCATGTCTCAATGATGGCCTCATCGGGAGCTCTGTCCTCGATCGATGAGATAAATCCCTCGTCGTATGGTGTCACCTCCACCGGTGTGGCCCGGTAAACATCCCAGGCCGTCCCACTGTCATATAAGGAACTGTCACTGCGACTCTCAGAGAACCTGTCAGGGTTCAGCTCGCCCTCCATCCAGGAGTCCGGAGAGTTGATGGCAGAGTCACCAACCATCGACTCTGGTACCGATGAGGGGGAGTACGTAAACGACTCTTGAGGGGAACCAAAGTCCTGTAGGACATCTCTGCCAGACTCTCTGGTGTTCACGTCCCCACTGTTTGACTCGTCTTCAGCGTGGGGCGAGTCTGACAAGATGTCTTCACTCGACCACGAACGAGCAGCGGTCACCCTGGAACGTGGCTCCAGGACACATCTGTCCTCTGACACCGAGGAAATCAAGACTTTGGGAGGAGGTTGAGTGGTGTCCCTCTGGAACATGTAGGATCGCTGCTTCACTCTGCTTTGATAAGCTCCATTCCTCACGTGCTCCGAGTCGATGTCACGAAAGTTGAGTCTACCCATGGAGACACTTCGTTCAATCAGCTGGGAAGGTTCCTCCGACTGTAGGAAGGACAGAAACATTAACAGACATTTTCTTCAACCAGATTCAGAACCTGATACAACCTACAGGAACATTTCATTACCTCCTGGATGCCGGGGAAGTGCTCCAAGAACTGGGAAACATACATGATGATAGACTGCTCATCAGGAGTGTTTATAGCCATGTCTACGCAGGAAAGAAAGAAATCAGAATCAGTTTTATTCACTATGTTTGTGCCGAAGAAAGGGAATTTGAATTTGGTTTCTAACTTTCCTTCATAAAGCAATTGTAAATATAAATATACAAAAAAGAATTGTTGGGAAATAAAAATGTTATTTAAATATGTTGAAATTTACAGCTTTTATGCAAATGAGGATATCAATGTTACATAAGTGCAATATCTGCAATGCCATAACAGCTAGGGGTGGGGGGTAACTTTCTCTGTGGAGATCAGTTTTAGTTAAAAACACTCTGCAGCGCCGACCTGAAGGTCAAATTTTAATCAGTTTGTGTTCGTTCTTTATAGATTTGAACCGTTCTTCTCCTGCCCTGCCGAAACCCTGGATGGAGGGAAGGTCAACCCAACATAGGAGACATTTGAACAGGGAAGTCATAAGGGAAACATGCACCAGCTGTGTTTTTGTTTTTCTTTTTAAAGTTAACTTTTCTTAATAAAAAAAGACCCTTTACAATCCATCTAACTTTAATTTTAACCTGTTTCACTTTATACACAATGTGTCAAAATGATAACTTATTTTACAATGCCATGTACCCCATACCAAACCCTTGACACTGATGCCTTTGTTTGTAATTTTACCTGCTTTATGAACAGTTTCTACTACTCCTTAAGTGTTTTCTACATCCATACATCCATTTGTGTTTTTGGTAAGCTTGTGTTTTCCCATAATGCTCTTATTGTCTTTTCTTTGCTACAGACACATTGAAAAACAATCAGATATTGTTCATCATTATACATCTTATACCATAGTTCCATTTGTCTGAACTTTAACTCTCTCTTATTGTGTCACATTGCCTTGCACCTTTCAACTTACTATACATTGCAAATAACTGCATCTAAGATACCTTCAATTTTCCAACACAATTAAGCCCAGAGTGCCACATTTAGATTTTTAAAATAGTTGTCCTTTTTTTTCTGATTAGAAACAAGGGAGTCCTCTTTCAATCAGTTAAACGGCCTGTAAATAGCACTTTTCCAAGTCAGGAGACTTGACCAAAGCGTTCTACACTACATTCAGTCATACACCCATTCACGCACACACTCATACACCGGTGGTGGCAAACTATATTGTAGCCACAGCTGCCCTGGGGCTCACTGACAAAAGCAAGGCTGCCATACACTGGTGTCACCAGGCCGTCTGACCTCCATCAGTAGACAATGTAGGTGAATTGTCTTCCCAAAGGACACAACTACATTGAAAGCCGGAGCCGGGGCTTGAACCGTCAACCCTTCCATTCCAGGGCAAACTCCTACACCTGACGCCACTGTTGCGCCCTCAAGTAAAGTCCCACACGGCCACCAATTGTGTAAAAGGTTTATCACCTTTAAAGAAAAGTAAGTTGTTTGTTGTAAAATACGAATGCTTATTTCTTTCACATTTATTAAAAATTACAATGAAATGTAAAGGATGAATTTTCACATACTTGACAACAAATCTTAAACCCAATGCTATCTTAGAAACATTTCAACTTACATCTTCTCCAAGTCAACCGATTGGGTGTTTAGATCTTAATTTGGGTGGATTTGATTTAATCTAGAACAGATTTCCTCTGGGAAAGCCACCTTTTTACTAATACAGTCTAAAAGACTAACAAGGATTTACGTGAAGACAGTTAAGATCTCTTACATCCAGGCCAGGTGGATCATTTAAAGTAATTGACACATTTATAAAGCTGTATATTATAGTATTATAGATGGAAAACAGCTGAAAACATTTAAAATATTTAAAAAACCTTGCACATGAAACTTGATAAGCCATCTATCTCTCATCAACAGTTTCTAATTTAACCAGTTTCCTGATGAAACAGTAAAACATTCCTGCTCTGGTATCACCAGATTTTTGCGCTGAAACAGATGCAGCCGACGATAGAGAGCAGAGATCACAACTGGAGGAAACTGGTTCTGTTTCCAGGGAAAAGTATGCTGGCATAGCGCCAAATGGCCAACTACTCAGCAGGTTGGAGGTTTGAAAGTTAAATCTGTTTCAGCTGATGATCTTACTTCCCTTAATTTAATTCTTTAATTGGATAAATTGCATCTATCACCTGTAATAAACAGATGCCTCATCCAATCTCCTCCTTCTTTCCACTCTTTTATTGTCTTTTTTATTTAAAGCCCTCTGTTGAGGAGTAGTTCTTTCTTGTCAGCCTTGTCTATCTTTGTTCCATGAATATAACCTACTGACTTCTGGTAAGTGATAGCAGCTCTTATGTGTGATGGACAAAAAGATGATGCCTTCATGCATTCTGTTTTTGCTATTATCATTTAATCACAGCTACTTTGGGACGTAAGGCCTGTTTAATCCTCTCTTTCATGCTAAATCAAACCATGAACGGTTATTTTTTAGTTGCCTTCAATGGGCCAGACCGACCAGTTTAAAAAAATGCAGAAACTCTGCGGGTTTATTGTGATTAAGGCTGTGTTTAATCTTGTTGTGTTTATGATTCCGTCTTATCAGAACATCAGGAAACATCAGGAATGTGTCACAGCAGCCAGCGGCTGATTCATGGATCAGGTATGTAAAAGTGATTTTTTACCCTCAGGCTCCAGCAGTCGTGGTATTCCCAAACTGTAGTGAGCTATCCTGAAGGCGTCCTCCAGATTCTCTCTGGGGGTCCTCAACAGGGCCTTCCTCATGTCCACCAGACTGGAGTCAATGGATTTAATGACAGCCAGGAAAGCCAGACCACTAGTCCAGCTCTTCCCAAAGTCCTGCACAGCCACTCCGTACCTAAAACATAACAGATCGAATCAGAACCCCTTTCATTAGCTGAGGTTTTACTAGTGTTAAAGGTTTACAGCCAACCCACTTGCGGGTTCTCCTTTGGATCCACTGCAGCAGCTTCTTGATGGCCTTGCTGTTTTCCCTTATGGTGATGGCAGCAGACTGTCGCTCCTCTGAAGGAGAGCTGCTGAAGGACGTGTCCGAGTCCGAACTGGTGGGGATGGATGACAAGCTGGACGAAGACGGGAACTGGCTCCGGATGTTTCCTGTCAGCTCTTTGATCTTGGCGGAGAATGAAAGGTTGGATTAGGTACATTTTTTCAAAGTCAGATCTGACCATGATCCAGCTGGGAAGAGCAGGTCGGAGGGAAGGAAGGAAAGGAGTACCTGGAAGAAGAGGATGATGTTCCAGATGAGTCCAAGGATGATGGAAGAGTTTCCATCAGCGATGTCGGCTGCATCGATGCTGACCAACTTCACCTGGAAAGACACATAAACCCAGCTTTAACAAAGAGACCAGAATCAGTGCAGTCACAGCCAAGTGATTTGGAGACCTACATTTCTCTCCTCCAGAAAGGACAGCACCTTGGCGATGTTGTTGAGTCGGAAAATCCGATGGGAAGACTTCTTAAAGCCGTGGAGCTATGAGAAGGAGACAGAGAGCAGTTACACAGCTGCACGGCACATCATGAGTTTACACATAGATGATTAAAAACATCCGAGTCTGACCAGTTTACAGCCAGAGAGCTCCTCGAGCAAAGCCATGAGGACGTGTCCATCCTGAATATCCTGGAACAGATCCTGGATCTGTAGTGGTGGGTCACACTGTGGAAAAAGAAGGAAGAAATAAGGGAATTAATTTAGTATCTTTATTTTCTTTATATGTGTCCCAAATAATCTTAACATCAGAAAGGCGAGTCCTCTTTATCCCATCCGGATCTCCATCATTTCTACTGGAAAACCATCTCAAGCTAATAAAGAAGACAGTCAGCTTAATTTACCATAAACTTCTCAGTTCAAGGTACAAAATTTACTTTCAATTCAATTAGAAATATTTGATGCAGCTCCTTATTAAAGAAAGTTTTTTTCTGTTTAGGCTTTAAAAGATCCAAGCATTCATTAGTTATTGATGCAATACCAGTAAGCTGATATATAGCGACATATGTTGAACACCACCCGCTTTTTTTGAATCAACTACTGCTTTAGGGAAAGTAAAATTATTCAGTGAACACTGGCTGAGTGGTAGGACTGCAACTAAATTTTGCAAATCGATAAATATGTCATTTATTTTTTCAATTAATCGGTTAATAATCAGATAGCAATAGATTTCTACGAAGTTAAACCATGTGAAACTAAACATTTTCGACTTGAGGGGTTCTGGATAGAGCATACTGACAGACAAAAACAAATTTTAACTTAAATGTAAAATGTTTTTTTTTTTTTACATTTTTTTGTATAATTACTGCTCAAAGTGGGTTCCTCTGTCAGCTTAAGGTACCTGTATGTTTTACAGTCTCTATACTCGTTAAGGATTAATCAACTACTAAATTAGTTGAAGATTATTTAAATAATCGATTAATGACAATTAATCCAATTAACTGTTTCAGTCATACTGAGTGGGTACTGAGTTAGATCCTTAATGTCATAAATGAGTGGATAATGTGAACGCTGGTTGGACATGGCAGAAAAGCAACATATTAAACTGACTCTTATTTCAACTGATTTCTGAGATGCCAATTCGTCAAACCTAAGTGCAGATAGTAGCAGTAAATGACAACACCAGTTCCCACTCAGGTCAGATGACATCATGAAAGAGGGACTGTAATTAGAAAGGTCTAACTAGGGCTGGACTATTAATTGCATTTTACTAATTATTTGAATAAAAAAAAATTCAATATGCAAATTGCAGAGGCATTCGATTTTTGGTCAACAATCAGCTCTGGAGAAGAGAACATTCAAGGAGATAAAAACATTAAAACCCCGTCATCCAAATATGTATATGCAAGCGGTTAATACTGAAGAAAATAAAAAAAAATGTACATGTACACATTTAAGGAATTTGTTTTGCTGGTAGAGTGCTGAATACAGACAAGCAAAAAGATGGTAGAGCTGCAGGTAATAATTATTTTTGCAAAGGTTGATTAATTTCTTTCAATTAATACATTAAAAGTTAGATAGCAAAAAGTTGCTTGAAGATTTTATACAGAATTTAAACCAATATAAGCTAAGGTTATGCCGCTTGAGGAGTTTAAACTCCCCAGATCTAATAAAGTAGCCAGTAAGTTATTTCAACAACTATAGCTTTAAACTCAGAGACCATGGAGTTACTGATGAATCCAGTGTTTAATGACTAAATATCATAACATCATTTCACTGTGGATAAAAATCCTTCCATCTGAAACTTCCAGAAGCAGCAGATGGAGGAGCTTTGAGTTATGTTAGCAGGAAACAAGCAGGATGAGGTGGTGATGGCCGCAGATTTATCGTTACATCAGCGAGAGGAGCCTGAGACAGCCCTCACACGGACCTGATGGAACATGGATGCTCGGTCGTGAAGAGGGGGGCTGAGAGGCTGGAACTTTCCAAGATGGCTGCAAACAAGTGTTTGATTGTTTAATTAGTGGGTCAGAGCTTTGAGAGCAGGCCAAACACACAGAGGCAGAGAAGAGAGGATTATTGTGTTCCAGGAGACAAAAGAGACAATCAGACGCTGAGACTCACTGTTTACAAATTAAATGGAGAACAGAGACTGCAGAGCCTCGAAGGCCACAATAATAATAGTAACCCAACATAATGCGAGCCCCAGAATAAATAGAGCACCGGGACAACTGGAGACAAAAATAGGAATGGAGGCTGAAGGGGATAAACACAACCATCAACACATAACTTACAGCTGCAGTTTAATATATAGCCGTTTCCCTGAATGTTTATTCAGAGGTTCTCTAATATTTTGGCTGCATTCCTACATCAGCAACTTTTCCAACAGTTGCTGATGTAGGAAAATGGAATTTAAGCTCTTCCAGAAAAACAGCAAGGGTGTTGTTTATGAATGGCTTTTATTACTAAAAAAAAATTTAAAAAGTTTAAGGACACTGTCTTTGTCTGATATACCAACATGACCAAGTTTCAAAAGTGGGAAATGTAATAATCCTGATTTAAATATCAGCACGTCTGCATATATATATATATATATATATATATATATATATATATATATATATATATATATATATATATATACACTCACCGGCCACTTTATTAGGTACACCTGTCCAACTCTCGTTAACATTTAATTTCTAAGCAGCCAATCACATGGCAGCAACTCAGTGCATTTAGGCATGTAGACATGGTCAAGACAATCTCCTGCAGTTCAAACCGAGCATCAGTATGGAGAGGAAAGGCGATTTGAGTGACTTTGAACGTGGCATGATTGTTGGTGCCAGAAGGGCTGGTCTGAGTATTTCAGAAACTGCTGATCTACTGGGATTTTCACGCACAACCATCTCAAGGGTTTACAGAGAATGGTCCGAAAAAGAAAAAACATCCAGTGAGCGGCAGTTCTGAGGGCGGAAATGCCTTGTTGATGCCAGAGGTCAGAGGAGAATGGCCAGACTGGTTCGAGCTGATAGAAGGGCAACAGTGACTCAAATAACCACCCGTTACAACCAAGGTGGGCAGAAGAGCATCTCTGAACGCACAGTACGTCGAACTTTGAGGCAGATGGGCTACAGCAGCAGAAGACCACACCGGGTGCCACTTCTTTCAGCTAAGAACAGGAAACTGAAGCTACAATTTGCACAAGCTCATCGAAATTGGACAATAGAAGATTGGAAAAACGTTGCCTGGTCTGATGAGTCTCGATTTCTGCTGCGACATTCGGATGGTAGGGTCAGAATTTGGCGTCTACAACATGAAAGCATGGATCCATCCTGCCTTGTATCAACGGTTCAGGCTGGTGGTGGTGGTGTCATGGTGTGGGGAATATTTTCTTGGCACTCTTTGGGCCCCTTGGTACCAATTGAGCATCGTTGCAACGCCACAGCCTACCTGAGTATTGTTGCTGACCATGTCCATCCCTTTATGACCACAATGTACCCAACTTCTGATGGCTACTTTCAGCAGGAAAATGCGCCATGTCATAAAGCTGGAATCATCTCAGACTGGTTTCTTGAACATGACAATGAGTTCACTGTACTCAAATGGCCTCCACATTCACCAGATCTCAATCCAATAGAGCATCTTTGGGATGTGGTGGAACGGGAGATTCGCATCATGGATGTGCAGCTGACAAATCTGTGGCAACTGTGTAATTTATCTTCTTTCTTATTCTAAATTTCACTGTTTCTAATATTTTTATTGGGACAGGATGTTTCAGGACCAGAGTTTAATAGCAAATATAGATATATTTATTTTTTTTTTTACATTTTTCTTTAATAAACCTTTAGTAACACAAAAAACAGGGACTAATTATTAAGAGAGAGCAGTTAATATCACAATTATAAAATATCTTGTGTATATTTCTATTTAAATGACAGTAAATCCACTGCATAAAAAAGTAGCTGAAAATACTAAATAAAAGCAGAAAGCATGTAATAAAATAACAGATGAAGCATTTCTAGTTTCCTAAAATTTGCTTAAAATCTATTTAAAGCTCCACAGCTATGTGACGCTGTGATCCAAGTTAAATGGACAACTTAATAAAAAAGGAAGAAAGGAAAGAATTAAAAATGTAATGAAGGCTGTGAGCCGAGCTGCATAGAAAATCCTCAAGACTGCTCTTAAGTTCTGATTTAATTTCTAATTGATTCATTTAACCAATGACACCTAAGAAAAATTTACAAGACCATCAGGTCAAAATTATATAATAATTTTCATTAAAAAATGATTTTATTTAATTTCCCTTTTGGGATTAATAAAGTATCTTTGGTTTTGAATTAAAAAATATATAATCAAACTAATGATCAGACTAATTATACGGACATTCCAAATACTTGCATCCATCATCTTTCGCTTTATCCGGGATCAGGTGGCGGGAACAGCAGTCTCAGCAGAAACTCCCAGACTTCCCTCATCTCAGACACCTCTGAGGTGAGGGAGGCCCGGGGTCCTTCCAGGCCAGCTGGAGTTCCTCCAGCCAGCGTGTCCTGGGTCGTCCCCTGCTCCTCCTCCCAATGGGACATGCCTGGAACAAGGCGTCCAAAGATGTTCGGGCCACCTTACCTAACTCCTCTTTACATGGCGGAGAAGCAGCTCTATTCTTAGCCTCTTCCTAATGACCGAGCTCCTCAGAGCCTTTCGATTATCATAAAACAGTCAAAGGAAACTCTGACAACTGCGCTGAGTCTCACTTTGAAGCAGTTCTTAAAACTGAACAACTATGTGGCGACAGCAAATAAGAAGTTATGCAAAGGGGGTAGGTTAAAATGCAGAGGTAAATTTCTCCAATGTGAGATCAATAAAGTTCAATTATTATCATTTTAACAGTAGGAACCAGCAGATGCTGATTCAATGTAACAGCTGCAGCTAGCAGCTAGTGAAATTCTAAGATAAGTTAATTAAAGCAAAAACTCATGGTTATATTGATAGTGTCTGTCAGAAGTAACACTTTAGCCAGGGTTTCTGACAATGTTGTCGTATTTAAGGAACAACTCTGCCCACAGCCCCTCTCTCTGCTCCCATTTGCCTCCATCCAGGCAGTCATTCAGCTCTGGGTCAGATACAACCTTCTATTGTGACTCTATTTGGTTCCGTGTTAGCAGTAAAAGTTTCCAGAAAAATGGAGGTTTAATCGAGCCAACATTATATTAGCATCTGTATCTATTACCTTAATTAGATTACTGATTATGATTATGTGACATTACCCAAGTTAATAAAGTCTGTCATCATTAAATGACGTCAGGAATAGATTTAATCTGTTTAATGTCAGCATGTTGCTCTGTGTGTAAACAAAACCTTAGATACAGTTGATAAGAAAACATGGAAATGTTTTACGGATGTTTTCCTTGGTAACTTAGCTGTTAGCTTGGAGTTAGTTATTTGCAAAAAAAAAAAAGTTTTGAATCTAATGTAACAAACTATTTACCCTGATAGGACCCTATCTGACCTGTATTCTGTTTATTTCAGTTCTCGGTCTGGTTGAGAAGTGGAAACTCTGAATGGGTGAGATAGAAACACCTCTGCCTTCCGGCTGCTGTCCTCGCTGGGACTTATTAACAAAGAGCTTTGTGATCGTCCGACCTGTGCAGGTAAAAATCTTCTCCTGTCCTGTTGGTGCCGTTTGTGCTGTAGCTTCTAAACCGCTTCTGACCTCAATTTGCATGTTTGCATATTCACATTCTCAATTATCAGAGCATAACACACAAATGGGCTGCAGGCCTCTAGTTTCAGATGACACAGCATTAAAGGATGACTTTCAGCAGTTCGAGGAGGATCGGGTTCCCATACTGACTGCCGGAGGGTCCCCACTTCCACAGAGTGGGGGTGCTGTTACTGCTGCTGCTCTCAGACCAAGTTTTAGGACAGTTTGAAGTAATTCAATCTTCCTTCTGAGGCGGAAAGAGAGGAAATTGAACAGACCTTCTCTAAGTGCAGATTCATCCATCGTGTGAAGGTCCTCTTCTGCACCACTTCCCTTTCCACTGAAAAACAAACAGGAAGAGGATAAGATGCCGCTGAAGGAATAAAGACATTTCAACATTAAACAGAAGTATAATAAATCAGTCACTTCTGGAAAGATTTCCATTATGCAGATTTTTTTTTTGTTAAAAAAACATGCACTGAATAATTTCTCTGCATCACTGGGAGACAGGATGTTTCCACTGATGGGCTTATCTTGATATAACACTGTTAGGCACATATTGGTGGATTTCTATTTATAAGTTCCTGTTACAAACTCACACACAAATAAATGCCTAGGAGATAAAACCGATCCGACAGATTCACAATAAACATCTCTAAGCATCTTTGGAAAATAGTTTTTATTTCAGATATAAAATCTAGCTTTCTTTGATGTCACTTCAACTTTAATCTGATCTGATGTAACATTTATTTTTAATCCTAACAGAGAAAAAAAATCATCATTGATTAATAACAGCAGGAAAATCTGAGATATATTAATCAGACAATAAATAAGTCACATTCACATTAATAGGAGAAGCATTTAAGAGGATATTAATTTCATGTTTCAAGAGTAGTTGAAGGTCTAAAAGCATTAATGCATTTTCACATCAGTGGGTTGTCACATTTAATACTGCCAAATATTAACCCTGAGAGGAAATTTTACATCAGCAATAAAGACATATACTATCTAAAACACATGCAACACTTTTTTTTTTTTTTAGCCTAAAGGACATTTAGTCAGATGCCAGATTACGGCAGATGACAGATCATAGTTTCCAAATGCACAAAGAAGCAAAAAAGTTTGGGAGGGTAAAACTGAAATGTTTGGTCATTATGGTGATTAGAACATTTGGGGGAAAAGATGGAAGCTAGTGACGGAGAACAACACCCCAACCGTTACGTATGGGTGAGGGAGCATAATGATGCGAGTGTTTCTCTGCTGGCTGCACTTCACAGAATATATGGCAACATGAGGAATGACGAATATGGGGAAACATTGAAGCAACATTTAAAGACATACGCCAAGAGGCAAAACTTGGACAGAAATGGGTCTGAATGGACAAAGACTCTATTCAATGTTCTGGATTAGCCATCTCAACGACCTGATTCCACTAAATAGAGAACATGTGGACTGTTTATTAACAAAACGGGAAGCAAGCCAGATCCATTTCTGCCAGTTCTGTCAAAAGGAAAGTAACAGTAAGCTTTGCCTAAGGAGCTACAGTTTAAAAGGTAGCACTTTTTCTTTTTTTACTTGCTTTTATTCTGCTTTTTCTATGGTCCAATTACTTTGCTTTAACTTTTATTCTGCTTTTATTTTTCTTCTATTTTATCATCTAATTCATGTAAATCACTTTGAATTGTCCTTGCCTTGCCTTGCCTTACTATATGACTTTTTTAAGTTAGATTTTTAGCAAATTTTCATAATATTTAAACATCTAACTTTTCAGAAATGTAATAATGCAATCTTATCATTCTGGCACTAAGAAAACGAAACTAAGTTTTGTAATCCTAGTTGACTTAAAAAGGAGAACTTTGTGTCAAACTTAAAGACAGTAAAAGTAACTTTATACAGTGTATGTTACCATCTACTTTAGCGTAGCACTGTACGTCTTATCATCTTAGTGGGATTTTAATAGAGCTGACATCCTTTTTATCTCTTTGAAGATGAATCAGTGCAACAGGCCAGTTTGAAAAACCACAGAGTCCCTTCAGGAGAAACTGAATAATCAGAGTTTAAGTTAGAGATTTGATGTAAAATGAGTGTTTATGGATCCTGGGAGCTGCAGGATGTTTCCTTTTAATCTCTGTCAGGGTGAGGAACCTGATGCTGCACAGAGCAGGAAGTAATAGGAGGAGCTATGACGCATTACCATGGCAGCACAGTCAGCTGTTCATTTTTATGTGACTCAATGACTCAACCCCCGCACACAACAGCTAATGAGAGCTGTAGCTGCAGTGATGATGTTAAAAACATCCTGAGCAATAGATTATCTTCTGCACTGTTCTGAGACAAATCTGCAGAGAGCAGGAAGGTAGGTGATGGAGGAGCGAGGACAGAGCCGGAGGGCGGCTGACTAAAGTGACAAATGAAACAAGGAGCAGGTTCAGTGATGAGATGTTCACTGCTTCCAGCTGTCTGAGTTGGTGATCTGTTTGAGCTGCAGGAAAGACACCGGGATAATGCAGGAGGACCTGCAGAAACCAAAACATTCTAAAAAAACATATTCACAGCAGAGGAACCAAAAAGCTATTTTTGTACCATTTTCCAATAGTTCCTAACAGTGGAAACATTCAAAGATAAGCCTGTATATGGAGATAAGATATTTTAGCTCAAAGTCTGCTAATCTAGCCTGAATTCAACTCCAGTTTTTGCCCGAAATTTATGGAAAATAAGCATATTTTCCTTTAGGACAACACAGGTTGTAAAATAAGTATAGAACACCACTCTTATACTGCACTGTAATTTTTATTCTTGTGTTTTATTCTGTTTTTATTTTAACTGATTTTATGTAAAGCACATTGAATTGCCCTGTTGCTGAAATGTGCTATACAAATAAAGCCGCCCTGCCTTGCCTTGCCTTGACACAGTTTGCCCCGTTTCAAAAGAAAATTAACTTTTTATTAAGTTGAGTACTTTCTCATTTTATGAAGATTTAATTTTTAGGGGGGATCCTCAGGTTTTTTTTTTTACTGGAAATCATAATAAAATAATTAAGTCATACTTTCGACTTCCAGCCTCAAAGATCGTGTGTTGAAACTACATTAGAAATGACTTTTATTCTGAAATGATCCACTTAGGCCTGCAGAAGAAATGCAGCTTTTAACAGGTTCAACATGTGACCTGAGCCGCAGTCCAACAGCAGGGTGTGTTGTTATTTATTAAAACCGGACAGTCAGATAAAACGTAATTCCTGCTCAGGAACATGTGATGTTTCTGCTTCATCCCACAGATAAGGGGGATGGTTGAACCTGAGAGCTGCTGCAGCTCATTTGTTTGCCATGCAAACATCAGAGTGCACATTTCTTTAAAGCACAACAGGAGGGCAGCTTTTAAAGCTCTGCACACAGAGACTAAAACAAAGTGCAAAACAGCATGGAGAGATGCTAAACTGGGAGCAGGTCGAACATCATTAGGAGCAGAAAAAGAAGCCACAGGTTCGGACCTCTGCAGCATCATCCGGTGCAACAACACTGACAAACATGTCTGGACTTACAGAGACCTCACTGTGTGTTTGCTTTGTATTATCAGATCCAATAAAGGAAGTTATTTATTAGCCCTCAGACAGGAACAGGTGCAGCTTTACAGCATGGAGTTTAACATCGATCAATCACATTAACAGTTTGATATTGAGAAGTTTAGATTAGTGAATCTTTACATAATCTGAGGAACCATTAGTTTCTGTATTTAAACACCAGAAATCCAACCAGCTGTTCCCTAACAGACTGTTTAATGAGTCTGACTGTGAGTCTTCCTAACATTTTTAAACCTATAAGGAGCTTTAAGTATCTGATTCTGGTCACAAACTCTCCTTAAAAACAGCTATCCCTCCTGGTTTCAGTTTATGTGGCACTGAGGTGTGATTTCTCCCTGATTACAGTCTCTAAAAGCCACGTTTCACTCTGACGTCTCTGATTACAGGGCTCTTCCTCCTCATTCCTGCCTACATGAGGACAATCTGACTCTGCGCCGCAGAGTTTCTCCTTCGGGGTGCCAATTAGAGCCGAGCAGTCGACTTCTTTCTGGCTTCCTCCCACTCGGAGACAAACACTGACTAAAGAGATGAAAGATGACGAGCGACGGCGCTGAGAAACGATCAGAGCGGAGGTGTGAATGTGGATGCAGGAGTCGCAGGAAGAGCTGCGGCGATGGTAAAATATTCATGAAGGATGGCGGTGGGGGTGTGGGGGGGAGGAGGGGGGGTTCCTGAACACTGCAGTGCTGCGTCGCCTCACAGTTATGTAACAACGCAGTTCACAGGGAGGCTGAGAGTCTTCATCGCTCCATCTGTTCCTCATGTTCCACTGAGTTCCATCATCTACTCTGAGAGAAGATGCCACTCTGAAATAATCATGCTATAAGACTAAATTAGGAATGCACGGGTCGTTACTTTCCATCATCACACCCACACAGTACTTTTAGTGATGCTAGTTGTAGTCTTGATTTTTTTCATTCTATAGTCTATGAATTGCTATTCATCTACTAAGGCCCTGATCTCTAGCTATCCATAGATCAATTTGTAATACTGATGCATTAATGATATAAGCAGTCAGTCAGATACATGTTTTCTTTGGTTTCAGGGAGTTTTATAGTCCAGAGACTGAATCTGAATGATCTTCTTCTGTTTAAAGTGAAGAACCTGTGCAGGAAAAAACAATACGTTCAGTTATCTGTTCTGAACTGGGAATAAAATTATGTTCATTATCAATTATCTGTAGAGAGTATAGAATGTGCTCAGGGATAGAGACAAAAAAAAAAACTTGGAATCACTCATTAATTAAGGAAGGAAGGAAGCTGTTCATGGATGCAAACCAGGAGTTCCTAAATCAGGAGAAACCATCTCACAGCAGGGAATAAGGAATCTTTGCTATACTGTATATAAAAGTTGGTTCATAAAAGATCAACAAAATGTGTTTTGGTCCTGATAAAATTTGGTTATCCAGAACCAGACAGCAATGCTGCTTAGGGGTTATGGAGAAGTTTGAAATAAGTAAAGATGGATTGATAATGAGAGGGAAAGATCAACTAATGTTAAACTGATTAGAGAATGATGCAGCAGGTTTTTTTCTCCCGCAGCCAGTTAGTCATTAAGAGAATCAATCACATCCATCATTGTACGGAAACATTGATGTGACACACTTCTGCCTAAATGGGTCCAGACCAGTTTGTGCCCCTCTGCAGGTCCACAGAAACATGTCTGAAACCATAAAGAAACATCTGGCCCTGCATTTTCCTCACCAGAACTTCAATCCCCTCAGAGGCGGCTTCAAAGCCCGAATCCTGTTTCCTGTCTCCCTG